AGAAAGAAAGAAAGAAAGAAAGAAAGAAAGAAAGAAAGAAAGAAAGATGGAAAAGAAGCTAGGAAGGTAGATGGATAGCTAATGGATAGATGATGGATAGCTAAATAGCTAGATGCAGCTCAAGAGGAGAGAGAGAGAGAGAGAGAGGGAGAGGGAGGGAGAGGGAGGGAAAGAAATAGGGGGAGGGGGAAGGAGTGGGGATATGGAGGTACGGAGTGGAGCAGAAATAAATTAGCCCAATAATTTGTCTGAGGAAGGACTGAGGCTTGCAAAATGCAAAAGGAAGAGGAAGGACTGGATCAGTCAACTTAAAAGAGATCCAATTCAAGAAGATGGAGAGATGGGAGACGGGGACTGTTAACACCCACAGCTATGGTCTTCTGGCAATCTACCAGTTATCAGGAGGGAGGGAGGGAGGGAGGGAGGGAGAGATATGAGGGGGAGGGGACTTCAATTTCCAGATGTGGCCTTGACTTAATCAGCCCCCTGAGAAATCAGGGTAGCTTTAAAACTGTGGCTATACTACCATTTTTTTTTTTCATTTTGTAGGAATGCACAATATCTGTTTCCTTTATCCACTTATTACTATTCACATTTAATGCAAAGGAATACAAGCAACAAGGATAACCAGAGGTTTTTTCCCTCTGTAACAATCATTTTATCAAAATAACTGAAGAGAATTTCATTACATGAGATAAAGGGAATCACCAGGGCAAAACCGTGCATTACAAGAACCAGCACTGCATTTGTATAAATCATTTATACAATTCTTTTCAGTCTTTAGATAGATACCTGCTTTATTCTAATTTGCGTAATCATAGTTATTGACTGAGTGTTGCCACTGTAAGATCTATATTCTCTGATTCCAAGTTAAATAAACATCAACTCCTGGCTGTGGTCCCAAGCCTGGGGTTGATGTTTATTATTTGTTCAATTGTTTTTGCTGTCTATTAGATTATTTTCATCTAGGCTGTCTGTTTGATTTAATGTTTTAGCTGCTTTTATGTTCTCCCTCATTTTGTATGCTGCCCAGAGTCCAATAGAATTGGGCAGCTAATAAATTTAAATAATAATAAATGCAATTTAAGTACAGGTAGTCCTTGACTTACAACAGTTCATTTAGTGACCATTACAACAGCACTGAAAAAGTGACTTATGACCACTTTTCACACTTATGACCATTGCAGCATCCCCATGGTCACATGATTTATATTTGGATGCTTCCCTACTGACTCACATTTATGATGGTTGATGTGTCCTGGTCATGTGGTCATCTTTTGTGACTTTCTGCCAAACAAAGTCAAGCCAGATTCACTTATCAACCGTGTTACTAATTTAACAATTGCAGTGATTCACTTAACAAATGTGGCAAGAAAAGCCGTAAAATGGGACAAAACTCACTTAACAAATTTCTCATTAAGCAACATAAATTCTGTGGTCGTAAGTTGAGGATTACCTGTATTGTGGAGAGTGACTACAAGGCAAGCAAGGAAATTTTGCAGGATGGAGAAGAATGGCCATGAGGGGTATATTTAAGGAGAGGCAAGCTAAGGGTTCATCACCCATTTCCAGCATCATCTCTCTCCAAATGTTAATTTCAATGTTATCAGATGTGCTAAACATCCATGGGAAATCAAGAATGATGCCGCCCTGGACAGAAAGACAAAGCAGTTTGTCATTCCAGGATTTATTAGAAATGAGAGAATGAAAGTCTCAGCTGCTGGAGCTTTAATGAAAACCAGCAAAAGGAGATTTTTACCTAACCAGGGAAAAGTGAAGTGTCTGGCAGCATTTCTATCCCATCTGCCTCCCACCAAATAAAATGAATTCAACAACTGAAAAGAGCAAGCTTTATCTCAAGGCCAAAGAGGAATTCTTTAAATAACAGCTGTTGAAGGTGGGACTCAGATGTCCAGAGAGGATTTGAGCTCTAGTAATCTTATGGACAAACTATTTGAAAGAAGAATTCGCTACACTTTCCTTCAGAGTCTCTCCTTTGTCTTGTTGTTCCTGACTAGCTTCCCTTCCCCTGTGTAAACACTCAAGATTTTTATTGGGGTTTTGATTAACAAAGAATCTCAGTCCCTTGGAATTATTTCTTTTCTGGCACTCATTACTTTTAAACCCACTTTAGACTTTGGGGTGTTTATTCAGTTCTGTTGCAAAAGTTCTGAGAAGGTGATGGATGGATGGATGGATGGATGGATGGATGGATAGATAGATAGATAGATAGATAGATAGATAGATAGATAGATAGATAGATAGATAGATAGATAGGCAGGCAGGCAGGCAGGCAGGCAGGCAGGCAGGCAGATGATAGATACAACTACATATGCCTTTTTATAAAATATATTAGTCAGAAAAGGTGCATCTTAACTGTCTTTAAACATCTGGCATGCTTGCATTTAAAATCTTGCAGCAGTCTTCATCTGGATAATGTCTATGAATCCTATGCCAATATACAGCCTAGTTAGTCCTAATGCAGTTCTGCTCAGACCATAAATAACTAGAGAAGGCCCTTGACTTCCATCTAATTTGCTTCTAGCACAGATGGTCAGGCAGGAATGGACTCAGTTACAAGTTCTTGGATTTAGGCAAATGGTTCATCAGACAAGATGGAAACATCGCTTGTGCTCTGTTGCATCAAAACAACATTCTAATTTGGAGCATTTAGCATCCTTTTGCAGAATATGGCATGATGGAATCTTTACAGCAATCAAACAGAACATCTGTTATTTTATAGATTAGATTGGTGATTTAAGAGGATAATTTGGGAGCACTGACCAGTAGGGATGCAGAGGGACTGAACACAATCACTTGGGTTATTAAAGAAGAATAGGAATTTGCTATTTATTTTTGTATTAGGGTTTATGGTCATCCATTAAAAAAAATGGCATTTTAAGTTGAACTTAGCTATGTAGATGCTGGCATTTATCAGCTTCAGCCTTCAAAGGAAATTAAAGAAGATTGGACAAAACAGGAAGGCATCAGCAAAATGTTCAAACTAAAAGAATATATCGTTACAGATAGTCCTTAACTTATGACCATAACTGGGCCTAGAATTGCAGTCCTAAGTTGTAAGTTGCAGTTGTAAGTCAAGGCACCCATGTGACTGGAAGGAATTTTCTAGCGTTTTTCGTGGCAATCGTTAAGTTAACCCATTCATTTAATTGGAGTTTTTGCCAAATAGCAGTAAAAAGTATTGCAAATTGATGTTATATGGGTGTGGAACCCCAGAACTGGGTTGTAAAGCCTGACCCACCTGACTTGTGGTCATGTAACCATGTGTGTGTGAGAGACCATTTACAATGGTTGGGAGTGGACCATAAAGCACCCAACTTGTGGCCTTCCTGATTTTGAATGGCCCAAAGATGCTTTTCAAACAGGTAACTGGACTTTGTTTTTCTTTGAAGATGTTTCATTTCTCATCCAAGAAGCTTCTTCGGTTTATGACCAGAATTTAAATCCTTCCATCCTCCACCATTCAGTCAGAACTGAAGAAGCTTATCCGATGAGAAATGAAATGTCTTCAAGGAAAAACGAAGTCCAACTGCCTTTTGAAAAAGCACCTTTGGAACAACCATGATCTGGATGACTGAGAATCTCCATAGACTAATTTCAAATGGTTGCAAAACAACCAATCATTAAGCAAGGACTCTACCTACGTGACTACATGATAAAGATTTGCCATGAAATATTTGGTGCTACTTCATGTTTCTTGATGGTAATATATTTCAAGAAGCATACTTGAGGAAAAACATCCCCCCAAAACTAAACCCAACTATTTGCCTGTTCTTTAAGACTCCGACTCCCACAGCCTAGCATGAGTTTACAAGGGCAGCAAAAAACTTTAAATCTGATTGTGAAAACCTGAAAGCAGCTACTGTTTAAAGAATCAGAGGAAGCAGCTTCCTGAGAGATGCTAAAACAAAGAGTGGTTAGAGGTCAAGGGAAGCAATAAAAGAGCAATGAAGGCTGTTTTGGAAAGAGCTCAGAGAAGCAGAGAGGTGGGGGCTGGCTAGTTACCAGGAGTTTGAACAAATAATTCCACCTCACTGAACCCCAAGGAGCAAGGCTATTATTACAAATGAATCTGTTCTAAATGAAGCTTAAGTAAGTCTAATCAGACAATCTCTGATCTTGATCTTTCTCACTTCCTTCTGTCTTGCCATCAGAGCCTGGGTTTCATTGTTAGCAAGAGCTTTACAGGGAATGTTCTTTTAGCTTCATTCAATCCTGCCAGGTCTCAGATTAATGACTGGGGTGTTTGCAGCAAGTGGCACCTCACATCTTTTGCTTGAGCTGTGTTACATGTTTGGAAAGAAGGCATGCGTCTGGATATGATTTTTAAAGGGAAAAAACAATGCACAATTATGGAGTTCACAGACAAAATGTTTGGTTCACAGACAAAATATGGTTGGTCTGGTTTGTGAACGCTGATGCTGTATTTTGTGAATTGGGATTTATGGCTAGCTCGTCCAAGTGAACCACAACCGTTGTGGTTTATTCAGAAAAAAAAAATGTGATCTATATTAATGGATCGATAGATCTAATGTTCCTGAACATGATGCCGGATATAATTGTGACTATAAATACTCAAATTCTAAAAGGTTGAGTAGAAATGCCCTGGTTGTTTGGATCCCTAACATTCATGCTAATGTCTCTGAGGCTGTCCTTGTGTCATAAACCAGGGCCTCAGTCCCTTATTCCCCAAGCAATTGTAGAAACCTTTAAAACAAAAAATAACCATGGGTCGTCAAGCTTTTATCCACTGATTTACCTTATGAAGAAATGACATTAGTGCAAATGTATAGGTGTCATGTTTCAAGATATCTAGCAATAATTTAATATTCCAGTACCACATCATGAAGAAGTGTGACCTACGAATGGTCAGTAGGCTGAGAGACACTCAAAGAAATTTCTGGAAGAGAACAGTTGAACTCAAGTTGCTGTAGACAACCAAGTTCACCTAGTGCAACAGCTAATAAAGCAAAATAAATAAAATGTACCATTCTATATTTGTTATTTCTACAGGAAACTTGGTTAAAACTTTCCTCATTTTTCAAAACAATACCTGCATGATGTTGAAAACTCTTTAATTATGGAGTCCTTGGTGTTCTCTGAGCTTGGTTGCTTGCTGAAGATGTTACCTGGTTGGGTAGCGAAATATCTGCAAGCAAACAGTCAAGCTTGGAGAGCACCAAGGACTCCACAGTGCAACCTTCAGCTGCAGATATTCTTTTCTATTGGTACTCTTTAATTATTAATCCAGGGCATCCATAGTATCTTGTGGATGTCCTGGGTTCTACCCAGTGAAATTAGCTGACTCTTAGTTCCAGAAGACAATAATAATTAATTCCTGCCTTTGCAAGTAGAGACATATTGCACTGGTAGGTTTTAATGTGTGGCTTCTGGTGGGTTTTGAAAATTATAGTTGCCATGGCAACTTCAGGTGTGCTGACTAGGCTGAACTGTTTCTTTCATCAGATCTCTCTTCCCTTCTTAGTTCTCCTCTTTCAAGGAGAAAGGGGTATATTACTAAGACTTGCATAGCTCAGCTCAGCTCAGCTCAGATAAATGGTGCAAAATTCGCCAGAAAGACCTGGTGACACTTAAAGACTAGCTTAAATCTGCTCCATTTTGAAAGACTCCAAGGAATTACTAAGAACTCTTTTAGGTTTTATCCAAAGCTTTATGCTGAGGATGAAGCCACACTTAGCCTTAGGTTTCCTTTTGATGGGTAGTTTGGGGGAAAGCTGGGAGATCCTACAACAATTTTGAATACACAGATTTATTGGGGCTCCCATGCACCCCCACAACTTTGAAAACAAATATTTCTGATGCCAAGTTTCATTGTGACTATTGGAAATAGGATGCAAAATCCAATGGATGATCAAATTATCCACTCAGTTAACATAATATGGAACCATTGAATATGTCAGAGCAGATGCAAAAATAACAGAAAGAGGAAAAACCAACCCATCCGTCCACTCCAATACAGAGAAAGAGAAAAACTGCCTGAGTTAACTCTAACATTTTGCATATTAGGATAGCCATCCCTTTTAGACCTTACATTATTGTAACACACAGCTTGTTGCAGTAGAGTACTGTGAAAAAGACATAAACATTCAAATAAACAACAGGAAATATACAGTTGTCGTTTGTCTCCTGCACACCTTGACAAAGAGGAATGGCTTTGTTCCAGTGGTGGTAACCCTGGGGGTGTCTTGAACATGTTGAAAAGCTGTGGCCAACAAGGCGGTAGCCGGTGTCACAACCGAACCAAATGGTGCTTCCTGGCTGCAGGCCGGAGTGGCTGAGGATAGAGCCATGGAGAGGTGCTGGAGGGAGGCTGCAATAAGGAGCTACACAAGTGGAAGGAAAACATAAATATGCATATACTCAGAAACACAGAATATCATGCAATTATATGTGAAGAGAAATGGCTTTGTTCAACTCCATTCCTTCAAAGTTCAGCCGTAGACCTTTGGTGCAGTATCTCCATGCCACTGAGATTTAATGCTATGCCTTTGGTTACAAACCAGACCCAAAGACACAGCCCACATTCATACATTAAAGCAGTTTCCCGCTTCTCGCACAACCTCAAGATGTATGGGACTACAGCTCTCATGGTTTCCCAGTAGTCACAGAAGATTCTGACAGCTGAAGTTTATACTTCTATGAAGCATGGAAGGTAATAATAGTATTAATAATAATTTCATATAGAATAATTAGAGCCCAGTGTCTAAGACATGTTATTTAAGGCCTTCAGACCTCAGCTGGGACCAAATACTGCACTGTATAGTGTCAATGTTCAGAGACATTGTGGCTTCTGTTCTCAAAATACCTGCCTCCTCAAATTCCCTTTGAGGAAAACTTTCCACTGGTTTGTTATCCTTACTTCTATGTTTCCAAGTCATGCTGAGTTTTCTCCCAATAGCTGATTTATGTTATTTATAGACCCAACCTGTCTTTTTCATGTTTTGTTACTTACCAACACAGCCTCCTTCAACTTGGTGCTCTCCGGATGGGTTGGGTTACAGTTCCCAGAATTCTCTGCTACCATGGCTGTTGGTTAGCTGGGAATTATTGTAGTTGTGGTGCCAGCACATTTGGAGGGCACCAGATTGTAGGAAGCTGCCTTAAAACATGGTATAAATTAATAGGGCTAAACAGAAGCATTTGTACAACCAGGGTTGACTTCTTAATGGTATTTTAACTGTGGGTCTCTAACTTTTGTCCAACATAGATTTTCCTTGCCTCCCCCACTTTTCAGTTTAGACATACACATGCATACTCTCATACCTTTATGATCCAGTAAAGTTATATAATGAAAGTCATCATTTCAGTCATAAATGTAGCACACATTACTGGTAATAATATCATTAGGTGATATATGGCCTTACCAATACTGCACGCTAAGGGATGCTGATTATATTGAACCAAGTCAATCAAAGTTGTGAAAAGAGATTAGAGTGAAGTTAGGGACTTAAAATGGTATTTTGATGGAAGTTTCTGGAGAAGACAAAGTCATAGAATTGTGAGGTTCACCCCTGACATTTATCCTTCACTTAAAATTACCCCAATGTTCTCCAGTTTCCACAAATGTCCACTATTGCCTCCATAAAATATCCATAGCTCTGATTTCACTTCCTTCCAAACAGTTCCCCTCAGCAATTGTTCTGATGATGTTTAATCAGATCCCCAAATAAGTTTCTTTGGAATTATTCATCCTTAGCAACACTTTACTTGGCTAATCTCATGAAGTACATGAGATCTCCTCAGTACATGGATGGAAAAACCACCAGGAAATTCCAGAACTAAGGGTAAATTGAAAAGTTCAAAAAGCATTATAGAAAGAGATCTCATATCACTTCCATACTGTTCCCAAAGAACTACATAGTTGAGTTTGACTTAAAAGAATTTCAGTTTAAATGTGGCAGAGGCAAAGTTAATTCACTTCCTTTTTTTAACCCAGAAAGTTGAAAGTTATGGTGAGCAAGGCTAAACTTTTAATTTAAGGAGAAAAAATAACCAGAACAGTGGAAAACATTTTCAATATATTGATATGCTCTCAAGTCAATACGACTTCTCCTAGAGATTAGAAGAAATTATACTGCCAACATGCATCTTTGGAGGTTAGAAACATCATTAGGGGTTCGTGTTAGATTCACCTTCCGGGTATGACTCAAAGAAAGGACAGAAGGAGATAGTTAGATTCCCCTGACCCAATTGTTTTGCATAATTGTTAATCTAAGAATTTAAATGCTTTGATATTGGTATACTTTGTTCATCCTCAAAGTTAGAAATATTCAATTTGAAGCACTCCAGTTATTGTAGAACTACAAATCCCCAGAATCTTTCACCATAAAGTCATGCTTCTTATCGATACTGATAGTTGCAGTACAGCAACTTTGGGGATAGCTCTCATCTAACTCTGCTGTGAGTCAAAACCAAAACATCAATTTTACCCTTATATTATTACATTTAAAACCCAAATCTATACGCTTTCTGATTCTTTCTCTATATTTCTCAATCTTTTGGCTTTCTAACCCTTCAGAGTGCAAATAATTTGGGACTCTAAAAAGCAAACCGGAATTATAAAGCAAGCCACAAAAATCTCAGTGGAATAAAGTTGCTCTTGTTCTCTCAGTAAAATAATCAAAACATAATTTCTTCCAATTAAATATTAGTTCATTCATTTACAGAATAACACCATTAATGTATTTATGACACATTTAGGCATGTCCCTGCCTCAATTTTGATTGCTTTTCATTAAGTAATTAAAAAAAATTACTTTATTCCAAGAATGGCTTGTTTAATTTTGAGGAACTCTTTGCCAAACCTTTCATAATTGCTTTGATAAAGGTGGACTAATTAAAGTTCATATGAAATCAGGACCAGAATAAAACATCCACCGTGAAAATGTTAATGGTGAAATGATTGTTGTTTCTCTTCTGGGAAATTCAGAAGAACTATTACAGGTTCTCCTTTCTTGTACTACCAAACAAAGGTAGCAAACACAAAAGAAGTGAAAAATAGATTCAGATACTGTTCTGTGTCTGTTTATGAAATTTTTCCATAGCAGCTCCTTCTTTGAGGCCAGGTGTGACCCCAAAAATGATAAAGACAAGTCCTTTTTCTGAGGAAAATGGGACAGGAAAGTCCTAATTTTTATTAACAGTATTTAAGAAGTCTATTGATTGTGAATGTTTTATTGCACTTTAAAAAAAATAATATCGTAAAATATATAAAAAATAAGTAGAGAACAGAAAGAAATAAACAAATCATATATGTACATCTTTTACACTTTTCCCATTGAGTAATTATCATCTATTTTTTTTCTCTTTGTTCCATTTAAACCCAATTTGAGAATATTTCTTCTTTCTGAAAAACGTTTCCAGTCATTCAAAAAAAAAAAAAAAAAGATCTTATGGTTCTTTTATTGCAATTTTAGGGATTAAGTTTAGTTTAGTTTTTGGAAGCCACCCCAAGTCACACAAATGTGCAGGATCCATGGGGATGTAAGAAAAAATGTAATTCACATTTTTAAAAATGTATTTTAGTGGGATTTTTTCACGGCAATGGTTGGGAAATATATATGAGTAATAAGAAGCAAAGGTCAACTTTTCCCATTTCCTCCACTTTAATTTTTTTTATAGATGTAGAGCAGCATTTCTCAACCTTAGCAATACTAAGTTCAGTGGTGGTATTCGGCCAGTTCACACCAGGTCGGGCAAACCGGTAGCAAGAATTTAGCATGGGTCACCAAACCAGTAGTAAGTTCTGGTTGGCCACGCCGGTCACCCTCCTGCCCGATGCTTGCTTACCCCGTCCGCCTGACATTTGCCTAAGGTATTTCTTTTTTTCCGTCCCGACAATCAGCTGTACATTGATCAGGTGTGCTGGGATTCCCCTTGCTGAGGCCCAGGAAGGCAAAAAATGGAGCGAGGAGTTCAGCCTCCTCCTCCATTTTTTGCCTTCCAGAGCCCCAGAGGAGCAACCCCCCCCCCCCGAGGCTCTTCTGAGGCTAGGAAGCTCAAAAATGGATGGGGGCTGCAAAAAAGCAAAAAAAAAAAAAAGCCACACCCACCTAGTCACATGGCCACACCCAAGCCATGCCCACAGAACTGGTAGTAAAAATTTTTGAATCCCACCACTGGTATGGTACTGGTACTTCACAGTTATGTCATCTCTATATGACCATGAAAGAATGGTTCCCGGTTATAAACCAACATTGTACTTTAGATGGATCAAAATAATTTCCTATGACAATGGCAATGTCTCTCAGCAGAGTACTTGTCTAGAAATTAGTTATGTAAGCAGTGATTATTTCCTGAATAACAATAACCTCAATTTAGCCATATTGAAATAAACAACATTATTTCTCATTCAGCAATTCTCACTTTAAGAAAGTATAATCCACAGCGCAAAAAGTTTTATGGTGAACTGAAAAGCTGGATTGTAGTGTTTATAAAATGAAACAATTGCAAACAAAATTAGTTGACTTGCAATAAATAACGGCTTTTGGTTTTACGCACCATAGTATTACTTCGAGATTAGCATGATGTATTCTTTCTCAATACAGCTATAATTAATAATAAATACCCTTTGCTAAATTAATTACTACAAAAAGTGCAAGCCGTAACCCTGAATGCGATTCAATTTACAGCACAATTTGGTTCATGTTTATTCAGTAGCAAATTGCATTAATCCAAGACTTCAGACTCAGTGACCGAAAGGGGGGGGGGGGTGAAAGGAAGGAATTAATTAAACAACAAAACCAAAGCCAACAAAATTTAAAAAAAAATCCCAAACAGGCTAGGTAACTTTTCTATGGGAAAAATAATGAGATACATTTCTAGTTTTAGAATACCAGAAAAAATGTAAGTCAAGAAGGAACATTTTCTTATCAGCTTACCCCTGCTTTATGCAATGAAGATCGGACTTCTTTTGCACTCCCTACTCACCAGAATATCGGATCCGGAAACCCTTTCTGCTGTAGGCATGATCAGAGGACCAGTGGAGATAGGCTCTGTTTCCTGAAGTGGTCACCAGCAGTGGTGCAGAGTAATTTCCACTTAGAGACAGTAACAGTGAACTTTGACCTGAAGGCCCTTTAGAAACATCAGAAAAGGAGAGCATGAGCCCATGAAAAGCCTTAATTTACTTTACTTTACTTTATGGTCATTGCACCTCATACAATAAAATTAAATGCCATCTTCAGTGTACATTATAACTATAAAATAAAACACAAATATACATCCTTCACCCAGGAGTTGGATTCTACCAGTTCGCACCTATTCGCTAGAACCGGTTGTTAACATTCTAAGCAGTTTGGAGAACCAGTTGTTAGAAGAAATTACTGGCCTAATCCTGTAAGGAAGGCAGGAAGGAAACATTCTGGTGTTGCTTACAGAAACTGCCTCTCTGTTAACCCTTATTACATTCTTGGCAGGACTAGACTTTCTGTCTCTGGAACGTCTCTGGAGTTTTTTCCCCTCCTTTGCTGGTACTTTGTTTGTGTGGAGTGACCATTCAAAATTACAATGGCACTGAAAAAAAGTGACTTATGACCATTTTTCACACTTACGACTGTTGCAGCATCCCCACAGTCATGAGAGGCCAGGCGAGGAGATGTGTGCCTCTTGATGTGAGTGATGTTGAGTCGGCCACGTCGAGGCAGTAACATGACCACCAAGCCATGTCCACCAATTAAGCCATGCCCACAGAATCGGTTGTTAAAAAATTTGAATCACACCCCTGCCTTCACCTTCTATACAATTGAACTGAAAACCCCTGATATTGCATTAATATTGCACATGGGATGTATTGTATAATTGGTTAAATAATAGATGCAGAGATTAGTATTTAATAATGAACGAAGATTAACAAAATAGAAATAAATACAGATATATTGAAATATGTAAGAATAAACAATGTAAGCAATACCACAATGGGAGTGTATGCGAATATAGTTTAAAATGCACAGAATAAATGCAATAGCGTATTATGATATAAATAAGAAAATAATAGTTATAATCATGATGTATAACAGTATGTAATCAAAAGAGATTATACTGTATGATAGTCACAATTAGAATATATACTATGATGTAAAAAAAAGAGAAGACTTGATATAACCAGTACAATGACGTTGTAAAATTGGAACTGTGATGAATAATAATGAAAAATGTACAATAAACATATTTTTTTTAAAAGAAATGTGAGAATCTATTTATTTCTTCTTAGTTGTTTATTTCCTGATCTTATAACTCATACTTTTGGAGTGAACTCAGAAGGATCAGTAGAATCTCCTCTTATTTAATCTCTGCAACAAGAATCCTGGTAAGAAAGGTTGGGATAAGAAAGACTAACTCAAGACAATTAAATCAATTGTATATACTAATCGGTTCACTTGTAAAGTTCTTTTTACCTGGATTTGGCCACTGTTGGAGAAAATCTCCTGACGTGATATTCCAAGCATCATTTTGCACTTAGCCTAATGAAAGTAGTACAAATCTACTTGGTGTGGAATTTTCCAGTTCACTACCAATTTTGCTAGGTGGCAATCCCCATAAACCTGAGACCACTCTGGATTCTAGTTAAATTTATGGGGGGTGGGGTGGGGTGTTTATGGAGTCGGGGAAGGTTATATAAAAGATCAGAGAGATATAAAAGACCAGAGATGGCTGCAACAGCCTTCTTTTCTTACAAGTTTCCAAACCCCAGAATTAAGAAATGCTGAATACAGACGTTTCTTTCTGCTGTCCTAATATAACAGTAACTGACAAGAGAAATCCTTCCTAATCAATCTTCATAACTATGAATAAATTCATCCAGTGAAACTAACAATGAGCTTAGCAAGAGACCATGATTTGCAAGATAATCATTTGTTAGGGAGAATCTGGAAAGAAGGACCCTGAGAACTAAATGCCGTTTTCTCCAACATGAAAGGAAAAAGTATAGAAAGCAAAAAGGTGAAGGAAGAAGGGACAATTGCTTGTAAGGCTGAAGAAGGACACTTTACATTAAAGTTTACAGCCTTCTAACCTAGAGGCCCTGGCAGGTAATCTCCAAAGTTAAATACGCAGAAGGTGAAATAATATGTTCTTTTCTACTGTCAATCACTTTAGTTGGGTAATCATGTCTTTTAGCAACATGGAATCAGAAAAAACGTTTTATTTACTCTTATGCTTATACTACATTTTCCTCTCCACAGGGCAATTGATGTCTTATCTATAGAGGAGTAGCCTAATGCATGATGCTACCAATCATATAATTCATGATTAATAATACTGGTGGTGATCACCTGATATTGTTTTCTCTAGCACTGATGATGTCACTAGTTTGGGTAAGGACCTCTCATTTCAATTCTGAGCTACAAATATTCTTCTCTATCGGTTGCTTTCTCTTTCCCACTGGGTCAAATTCTAGTAGCTACAATACTGCAGTGTGATTCCTGCCCTGTTCCCTTTCCACCACCTTCCACCCCTAAAGGATACCATGTAGCTTAAGCAATCTTTCTTCTGGTAACCTACCCACCCCACCACACAATCTCATCTCCAAAACCATCCAATATTTATGACTTACCATCAAATATCCCAAACTCATCATACTTCTTCTCACTCAAGAAATATTCAACAGTGAAAGTGATGTTGTACTCGGGTTCCACTGCTATCATCCAAGAGCAAGTTTGGAAGTGAGGATAGCTGCCTGTGAAGGATGGGCTCAGGATCACTCCTGTGGACTCACGGAGGACCTCATTCATTGGACAGTGAACTGATTGAGACACACACAAAAAAGCAAGGCACAGACTGTCACTCTATGTCACTGTGAAAGAAAATTAGTCATAGAGCTGTTAACTAGGCTCAGAAGATAGAGGAATCTGGCTAACTCATCTAGCAGGATCTCAGCACTGAAGTCTAGTAAATTCTGGAAGTTAGTCCACAGATTGGTGAAGATTGCCTGTTTTGGTTCATACTAATTCACCAGGGCTCTACGAGAAGTATTTCCCATCACCTATTTGACTATTTAACTGGGGGAAACAGTTCTGTTGCATCTTCCTCTAAATTAGCAATAGACTTTGATTCCATGATTATCTTAGGACCTTTTAAAACTTAGTATTCATCCTTGTCTCTACTGGGTTTGTGAGTATGAGATGGATTGCCATATTGCTTCTGAAAAGAAAATATCATTTGCACAAATATAAACTATGTACTGAAATCAAGAAAATGATCTGTTGTGGCACCTATGCCATGTTTACTTTAGGTTTTCTTTCTAGAATAAAGCCTGGGTCTCCTTTAGAAGCTGAAGATGCAGACTGATTTATTTTTTGGCAATAAATAACAATCATCATCATCTCTATCATTTTTTATAGGAATAGTCTTTTTAACACCTTTTCTGGGTATCCACAGCATAGGTCTTAATATATCTATTTGTCTTTCTGTATATTCAGTATTAAATAGCAAGATATCCATATACTGTATTACTTACTCCCTGCCATGAGTTCTGGGATTTTTTTGCACTTTCATCAAAGTCACTGACCTTCACAAGTTGGGGGAGGGCCTTCAAATTGGAGGTGGGTACCAAGCCTGCATGTCAGGATCTCATTTCCAACCAAGGTGAAACCAGGAAGACATTGATACCTAATAATATCACCTAAGGAAAGGAACAAAGAGGATCCAGCTGTTTTTCCAAGAGTTCAGAAAGACATATTTTGAATAAGACTCATCAGATGGATCATGATTATAAGTGAACTAGATGTGAGGAAGAAGATCAGGATCTCATAAAGTTAATCAAAGCAAGGGGAGAAGAAAAAGCATGTGGACTAAAAGTGCGATTCTCAAATTGTTATCTTTCCAAATGGGAAAGACCATCTGCTATTAAATGAAAGCATGTATGTTTTGTCTCATGGTCCAGAAAGTCATTTAGAGTCAAGTTTCCCAACTGCATGGATTTCAACTTCCAGAATTCCCCGGCTAGCAAGTTGTGGCTGCACATCTTAAAGTTGCCAAAGTGGAAGTTAAAATTGGAAACGTTACTTTAAACTAGTGTCAGTGATTTGAATTAATCAAAAGACATGTCAAGGGAAATAGGAGGTGGAAGAGGATATAGTGCATCGGCCCTATCACGGCTTCATGCTCTGGCAAATTTTTATCTGATATCTTTGCAGCATACTTGGTGGTGTCATTAGGGAGAAATCTTTAGCCAAATTACTTTGCAAATTTCTCCCAGGCGTGTAGCACTACACATCAGAAAAGCCTTGTTATCTGCTACCTCTATTCTCTTGTGAAGCACTTCCAGTTATCCCCTTGTCTTCATTAATCTTTCAAATCTTTCAAACTCTGTATCTGTCTGGTGTGGAGGTAAAGATCTACCCTTATGCACCACTAAATGCAGTGGGAGAATTCTAACTTGTGGATAACATCTATTTTGTATACTCAAATTACTATTTTATTTTATTTTTTTGACTGACAAGTTGAAAAGTCCATCCTGTCTTGCTAATTTTCTGCTTGAAGAGTGAAGATGGTGCTGTATTCTGGTCCCGCTGCTATCATTCAAGTGAGGATAACTTCGTTTTAAGCAAAGTGGAGTGCTGAAAATCCCACCCACTTTTGATGTGAAAATCAGAGTTTCAAATCAGGGATGAGCTGCTTTAGCTTCAAAATCAGAGATGAAGTGCCTGAATATTAGCTGATCTCCCAAGAGCTAATAAAACTAGGACCTGGTTAGTACTGTATTTGGTAGGGAGACCACCAGGAAATCCAAGGGTTGCAAGTCCAGAAAATTTGAAAAAAATATATAAAAAAACCCAACCCAATGGCAAACAGCTATTCTGAATATCTTCCATATTGTTGCCAGGAGTCGAGCATGCCTCAAGAGGGGCTTTGTGGATTATAATCATATGAGGGACAATGCTGGTTCTAATCTCTGTGATCTTCCTGGATTGAAGCATTCACTCCTCAGGTAAATTTCTTATAAAAGCTTCTTATAAAAGCTAATCCTGACTTTCATTTTAAGCTTCCTCCTCTTATCCACAGCAGATAAAGGCATTGATAGAAGAGGCAGAGTTAATGCAGTTGTTGTTTGTTCTCTTTTATGTGATTCTAGCTGCAACCAGTAGATTCCTGGCACTTACAATAAATAAGGAATAGAGACTTCACTGTGCTAGGATGCTGAACTGCATGTGGCAAGAACAGGAATTTTATTTACTTAATTATTGCAAATAAGTTATGGGTACCTACTTCAGGCAGTGAATTAGGACTGGCATGAGAATAGTGGGAACACTATCCTTCTGTGATTTATACCACCTGACTACATCCAAAGAAAATACTAGCAAAATCATGCATGTAATACCTATATTGTAATCTTCATTCTCAGTGATGATTTCAGCATTAGGTACCATAGTTGGTGGTTGGCACTTAGAAAGTTGATAGGCTGGAAAGAGAAATAAATAAATTAAGCACATGAGAGTACCAAATCTCTAGCTATGGGACTTTTATATCTTTGTATTATAGATCCTCTGCAAAAGTTGGAATCACTTGTTGAGATAGGTGGCCATACAAATTGAATGGATGAGTAAATAAATAATGAACAAAGAGAGAAGCAAGAAGCTCAATCTCTGGAAAATCAATTCCACAAAAAACAGAACCTGCTCCCTGGGTGGTGGTGGTGAAACCAATTTTCTCCTTTTTGTAGCCTTCTGTGGTTCAACATTTTGAAGATTCATTGGGCCTCAAGGATATTTTTTTTCAGAAGAAATACATTCTTTTTTTATGTTGTAAGTCAAACATGTTTCTTATTCCTTGGTTACACCAACTACACAGTTGTTCACCCAGCATTTGAATTTATTTGTGTCTCTGTTCACACAATTTGAATTAAATGGGTTATTGAATTAACCCATTTGCTTGATTTGCACAATACCTGGGATCTCAAACTCAACGGGCAGAGTGAAGCTACAAAAAGTATTTCTAATCTTAACAATAATCAATGCATGCAGCCCTTGGCTTCTAATCAATTTGATTAAACATCCTGTGCAAACCCAACCAGAGGGATAAGGGCTACTTATTGGTCCAAATTAGTGGTTTTTATGCTGCATCAGGCACAGTGGTATGGCAGAGAAAGCACCTGATAAACCTTAGTTGAATACATAAGCAATATCCAATATCACTGCTGCATGCAATAGGTTACAAAACAAGTGTGACAACAAACCCTTGTCCCACAGTGAACTGTACACACCATAGAAGTGGATGGCAAAGAGGCCTCCATTGGCTGCATCACTATGAAACTTCATCAGAGCATGGTTGGAAGAGCTTTGGATAGCTTTCTTCACGGAATGTCCCGTGAAAACCCCCAACTGGGGAGCTGTCTCTTGAGAACCATCCCTGAAGAGAAAGGGAAAGAAATACAAAAGAAAAGATACATTTAAGAATGGGAGCATTATGGATCATAGTTTGTACATCACTCAGGTTATTGGCGGAAGACAATTCCAACTGAGATTTTTAAAAGGGCTGACAATCCTCTTGATGCAACAGCCAGATGATGCTTGGAAGGCCAATCAGGCACTCCCAGTGGGTCCATCTGGCTGAAGGATCCACAAAGTTCTCCTGATACAAGCCACAAGACCTATAAAAGGCCCTTGTTCCTACTCTATTTTATTTGGAAGATCTGTCTAGCTATGCACTTGAAGATGTCTCGATTCCCAGCCTAGAAATACAATATATAAAAAACAAAAATAATTTGTATATACTTACATATACATAACCTTTGTTAAGTAGTTTTAGTTTGCAATAAATTGTAACTAATGAAAAAAATACAAAATACATTCTAGCATTGCCACCCCAGCTTTTGCTATGCAAAATGGTTCCTAAACACTAAATAATGGAAAGACTTTATAACTGAAAGGGTATAAGCATAATCCAGCACAGAGGATAACTAACACAATGCAACACTTCAATGTGAAAGCAACACTGCAGCTCTTCCTATTCACACCTCGATCTCTCTCTGGTCACGAGCCTGCTTCCTCTAGTAGACTTCTGATCTAGAGGTTGGTGGATCCTCACTGGACCTCAGAGCCATGAAAATGAGAGTAGACAATAGCTGTTGTTTACTGGCAACAGGGCATCTTTCCAAGTTTCTCCATGATATCCATTTTCCAAATCAAACAATTTCATTACTGCCATTTCATTATCACTATCTCTCTCCAGATGCTCATTGATACTTCAAAGTTCTTTAGGGAGCAAACTGAAATGTTCCCTTTCCTCCAGGGATTTGGAGGAAAAGATTTTCCAATTTGATGTCTTTTTGTATTATATATGTTATTGTCCTGGGTCTGCTGCCACCAAGTTTCCTAATCCCAGCTTGGGCAGTTTCCCTTGAGGTAAGTGAAAAACTGATATCTCCAGACTTCTCATGATGAGAGGATCTCTCATCATCTTCTAAGGGTAAGAGAACATAGCTATGACAGGGTTATAGCAATACCTACTGAAAAAGCTGGTCTCAGAGGGAGCCCTCAACTCCAAGTGCCACTCACCAGACAGTGATGAAGTCATTGTACGGCTCTGTTTGCAGCAAGGTAAAGTTGAGGTAGATGCCATATCCGGATGACACCGCAAATAGCCATGTACAGTCCTGGGAATTGGGATACTGCTTGGGAAATCCGGGGGAGTAGATCGTTCCATTTTGGGCAGTCATGTTTCCTCCACAGGGAACTGTATGCAATTGACCACAAAAAGACATTAAGAGCTACTAAATATGAGTACTTGCAGAATAGTGGTGGTATGATTTTAGTATCATTTGATCTATTTTAAAGTCCTCCAAACTGCTATTACCATAATCTATACCATGGCTGTCAATCTTGCAGCCCATGGGACCAAATGCATCATGGACTGGCCGTGCCCATGCCCGATTTAGTGAAGGGGGAAAAGTCATGATACATCATGTGATGATGCCGTGACGATGCAAGTTTGACACTCCTGATCTATACAATATTTTTTAATCTTGGCCACTTGAAGATGTATGAACCTCAACTCCAGAATTCCCTAGCCAACACTCTTCTCTGTACAGGCAGCGGGGAGAAAGAATACCCAATTCAGCTGAGCAGGGAAGATTACTTAAACATAAAACAAGCCCTTAACCCCTTTCAGGTTAAAGGAATCTTTTCAAAACCTGGTAAGTCTCCCTTAATCAGTTAACTGTGCATTGTGAATTTTGCCAAATTGTCTTGCCTGGGACAACTGTGGTTGTTAAAAGGGGCTACTATATAGCTCAGTGTATGAAGAAAGTTATAAGTCATGGGAAGCCTTCTTCTGACAAACCAAAGTTTCCTCCAATGAGGGTGTGAAGAGAAAATATATGAACCTGTGGATGAAGCAAATTTAGCAAAGTTCAGCATTACTACACTTCTATTCAATACTGTTTTCTGGGAAAGCCACCAAGAGCAAATGTCCACATGAAAGGAATACTGAGAGAAGCATGCACAAAGATGGAGGTGAACAGATACAACAGTCATACTCAAATCAAAGCTGTGGAAAAGAAGAGATTTGTCACTCCACAAAGGAGCAGAAATTAAAAGGCATTGACATTATAATTAATGGTACCTAAGTACTGTGGAAGCAATAAAGCTGACTTAATAGTGGTATACTTCTAAGTGAAACAGAAATCAATAAAGGGCAAAGACCAACCAGTTCAGGTTTGTAGCCAGAAATGTGTAGTGGTCCTGGTGCTGAAGGATAGGTAAACTATATGTATGGAAACAAATGAATTATGATGCCTCTTGCCAAATACCAACATGTCAGGTATACACATTTAATATGTATGTGTTATATCTCAGGCATGCTAATTCAGTGTGTTATTTTCTCTTTTGTTTCCTTAATAATCAATCCCCTTCCAAGAAAAGTCTCAATAAAGTCATACCTTCACACCTGGGCAATGGGTGGTCCCAGTTCCTATTGGTTCCATGTTGGCAGGTTAAGACTGGTTGTCCAATCAGCTGATAGCCAGGGAGGCACTCAAAAGAGATGGATTGCCCCACACTATAACCTGCTCCTCTTACTATGCCATTGGCAAAGGGCTCAGGATCTGGGCACTCCTGGAGTTCATAAGCTGGATATCATAAAATACAAACATGGCAATGGATTTAAAACCAGTTATTCCTTCCTTCAGAAATGCTTTACCTTCAGATGTCTTATAGGGAAAGACTATTAGTCAGCATTGGAGCACATGCTCATAGTGAAGGGCAGAAGAGTAACTGAGGATGGAAAACATCCTAACTTGAAACCTTGGAGGAAGTTAACAATCAGCAATAACAATAGTGGGCAAGTTGTATAATCCCTCCTATACACTTAATTTTGTTTACAAGTCTTCTCTAGTCAATCTGCAGGATTTCCAATAGGGTACTCTTCTCCAGATTCCCCCCAAAATTGCTTTCAATGATAAGAGATGGTAGCCTAGAGAGCTCTTTCTTTCCTCCCTAAATGACCAAAGGTCTAACTTGGTATAAGACAATTTACTTAGTTCCAATGTTCTCTCAGCTGAACCATATTGGTGGTAACTGATCTCCAATCTTTAAGCACAAGCTGCTTAGCAACCAAAGCTGAGCTATGAAACCAAGCTGCATGTAACTGCATCAGTTTCTGGAATCCATCCAAATACAGTATTATATAAATACGAGGACCAATAAATTGATAGATGTTGCTCAGAAGTTCATCCTACCAGAGCAGCGATACTTGGCAACTTTAAGACTTGTGGACTTCAACTCCCAGAATTCTGCAGCCAGCTATGCATAGCTGACTAGAGAATTCCGGGAGTTGAAGTCCACAAGTCTTAAAGTTGCCAAGTTTGGGGACCCCTGCCTCAAATGATCAATTTTCCATGATCTATTCCTGCCGGTAGAGTCATCCCTTGTCATATGGGCTGATTTACAAGATTAGTTTGCTCTGCCAATCATCATCCTAGCCAGGTGAAAATACCATGGTTTTATGGTATCTTACTACTTAGATTGCTGTAATACATTCTAAGTTGTGATAATTTTGTATAGACAGTCTTTGACTAATGATTGGACCTATCTAGGTGGTACTTACAACCCAGACTTGAGTTTCAACAGTCACTCTTCCTGCAACCTCTTGACCACACTTCAGATGTTCAACAACTGGATCTCACAGCCATTTGCAGTGCCCTGTGGTCACTGCGTTTTACAATGGTGTCACTGAAAACCAGCATTTACTTCTGGTTTTCTGCAAAATAGTGCCAACGGCAATATATTGGTCTGCTTAATGTCCACAGAATTCACTTAACTACAGATTCACTTAACAATCATGGTGAATCGTTCAATGATTGCTGCAAAACATGTCCCAAAATCAGGTCAGTCATATGCTCGGCACATTTTATGACTGTCAAAAGTTATGACTCTGATGGACAGGCTCCATTACACTATTAGTTCAATGACTACCTGTAGTCAATCCAGAATCTTCAGTCTGCCCAAAAGAGAGCAGTCAGATTAATAATTGCACAACAATATAATCATACTATGCCAATATAGTACCAACTTCACTGTTTCTCGGTTCATTTCTAAGTCCAATTTAAATTTCTGGTACTAATTGCTAAACGCATTCACATAAATTAAATTGTATGGATTTCATTGCATATCATGCTGTTCATAAATATTGCACTGAACATTTTGATTATAGACTTGTATATAGCTGAAATAATTAAAAATGATGCTGGTTTGATATGTGTATATGTCTGCATGAAATAAATTTGAAAGTGAGCATGGAGAGGGATATTATTAGAAGATTGAGAGCAAGAAAGAAAAATCTTGACTGGCATATGGCAGCACATTACAAAACAACAGACACTGGGTGTTTTGAATTTTATTATTAAATCTGGAATATTCCTTCTGTCGAAAAGCATGCTGAAATTCTGAATCTTTCTTTTTGAGCTATTTTCTCAAAACTAGCACCAGAGAGATTTTCCTGCATTCTTTATTTATAAATAGCAGTACTCATTCAAAAGAGTTTTCTTTTGAAACTGATTTCAAATAACTTTAGTGAGTTTTTCATGTACTTCATGGGGTTAGTTTTGTACGTGTGTGAATGAAATTTATTTTATTCTCTCTAACAAATCTGAAGGCTTCTTGACCTTTTTCTTGAGTTCCCATCTAATCCGTAACATAACTGGGGGACCTTTCAGTAGTACTGCAGCCATTACTGCTAATGAAAATCCTTAGCAGAGGGTTAGAAATTACTGAAGAATTTGTGATTCCTCTAGAGAAATTCAAAGAAGCCATTCTCTGGTTCTTTACCTACAGATCTGATGATAATTTTACAAAACTATTCCTGCTCAACTCTGTTTAAAATGTGCTTTTGGGGCTTCTCCTGATCAGTGGGCCTCCATGAAACATGTCAAAACCTGCAAAATGGTAGTCACAATGTTGCAAAGCCTCAGCACTTTGTATGTGCATTTTCATTCACACATACAAATGTTGATTTGATTGATTGCAATGTCCTACCCACCATCTTGCAGATTTTGATAACTCTCCACACCTGCTCTTGAGCAAGATGGTCAGATGAAAGAGGATCCACAGAAAGTTCTACAAAATATACTGGCATAAAAGCAGCCTTCAAGAAGTCATTCAACACTTCCTTATCCCTGGAAGAACAAAGGAATGAAAAAGAAACTCCTGAATGAATAAAGTCCTGTCTTTATTCTCATTGGTATAAGAAGAGACAGCTCTTTTCTTTATATTTTTTTTCAGCTTTGGATAACCTTTTTCTTAATGTCATTGACTTCAATTTGAATGGGTAATTGGGAAACGGATGACCATTTGGCAGGCATAACATTAATGAGAGAGCCTTAACTTTTTCTTTACCTGATAAAAGTCTGGCATACAACACTGCAAATACAATTAAGAAATAAAAGTAGTCCTTGACTTATGACTACAATTGAGCCCCACATTTTTGTTAAGTAATTTTTACCCATTTTATAACCTTTCTTGCCATAGTTGTTAAGTGAATCATCACAGTTGATAAGTTGGTAACCCAGTTGTTAAGTGAATCTGATTTTCCCATTGAGTTTCCTTGCAAGAAGGTCACAAAATGTGATCCCATGACCCTGGGACACAACAACAGTCATAAATATGAACAGGTTGCCAACCATCTGAATTTTGATCACATGATCATGGGGATTCTGCAAAGGTTGTAACTGTGAAAAATGGTCATAACTCTTCAGTACCATTGTAGCATTAAATGGCCACTAAACGAACTGTTGTAAGTTGAGGACTACCTGTAATAATATCTGTAACCAGAAAAGGAAAACTTTTGTTGCACTGAAGTAGAAATACAAAAAGCTAAAGAATAGTCTTGTTGCTAGGAGGAATTTGTCTGATGTAGTAATTTAGAGGTCTCTGAGCACCAAGCAAATTAAGGTTGGGTTGAATTCTTAGGTATATCATTAGTATCTCCTGGGAAATACATTGTGGATTAACTTGTTAAATTTGGCAGGCTACTAGGATTTAGCAAGACTACTAGGCAAAACAAGAATTTCCATTATACCCTAAAAGTATTGCTTTCAAGAAATACAGTAGTTTTGTAGCATTCATCACACTTGAAAAGTGCCCCAAAGACAATGGACTTGTTCCATTCTTAGCCTTCTCAGCTTCCTGCTCCTTACCTTGATATTCTACTTTAAAACCAGGCTTGTTCTGTGAGTGGTCACTGTGGAAATATAAGGTGGTTTCGTGTGACGTGGAAAGAAGAGAGCCTGGGAGGTCGGTCCCACTAAATCGGCTGATGATATTACTGGTATCATATGGCCCATTGCGAATTTCAACAAAATCATGATTAGGTTCAGTGGAAAAGTTTAAGAACTGGAGATGAGCACCTGCACATGGCAGAGAAAGTGAGAGAAAGGAGATTTCGTTAACTGAATTGCTTCTGTGTTTGATTAACTTTCCATCATTCTTCCCCAAAGTACAACATGAAGAATTCTCAAGGTTTCCGACTAAGATCTTTCATAGACAATATTGTACAGTGTGGTAGGTGCCAGAAGATTATCAGTATTACTCCTAGTGATAACCTGAACAAGTCCCCGCAATTTTCTTGCTAACATTTTTAGAAGTGGTTTTATCTTGCCTTTTTCATCCTAGGGCTGAGAGAGACATATTGGACCAAAGTCATCAGGTGGTTTAGGATTAGAAACGACAGTCTTCCTGATTCTAGGCCAGTATCTGTAACCACTATAAATCAACCTGGTTCTCACATATGTATTGCTTCATAAATGCCATTTAGGTACATTTTGTGCCCTTGGAGCCCTGGAGCTCTATAACACCAGCCCTGATTTAGAAATAAAAGATGAAACATCACCAGAAAGCACACTCAGAGGACCTAGACAGCTACTTTCTTTGTACTTAGTATTTTACTTTCTAAAACAATGTATTTATTCCTGGCTTCCTTGTCACTCAATAAGGTCTAGTCCAATGTACCTCTTGACTATTCCATTGCTATAATTCTGGAGGGCTCCTCTGTTTTTGGCTAATAGCAATTTTTCTCCTGGTAGGTAGTGGATCTCAAGTGGCCAATCCCATTTCATATTTACTTTGCTTTGCTTTGCTATACTTCACTTTTAGGCTACCTATGACCAAAGTACATGGGTGAAGCGTAAACAGCAACGGGATTGCTAATTTGACACCATCACCAAATGCATTGTGACTTACTTTGAAAGAATGGGGATACAGAAGGATGTGGTGGAGAACTGTAGTTTGAGGGGCAGGAAATGGATTTGCAGCAAGATTTCCCTTGCCTGGATCATGGAGAACTAGCCTCTCATGGATTGCCTACCATTTTTCCTCCAGTACCATCAGCTAGTCATTTGGATTTTGCATGTTGAATTTAACAGGGACAATTAGATAAGACAATATCCTCACTACTGAGAAGGAGACAGAGAAGAAGAAGAAAGAAAGAGAAGAAAGAAGGAGGAGAAGAAGCCTACACTGAATCCAAATCTTAAAAAAAGTGCTCACCAACTTGCATTGGAAGGGATATAGCATTCATTAAAAAACTCATTACATTTTACGACCAAATTTAAAAATGGTTCATCAGCTTCTGGATCGAGTGTTATTTTTGACTTTGAAATGGTTGTGCATGAAATTATTTTTATTATGATAATTATTTATTTAACAGAACCAACTAAAACAAGTACAGAATAATATATTAAAACAGAACAATGTCTATGTTCTTAAAAACTGAAAAAGTATCATTGGCATATTTAAAGTTGCACAGAAAATAATGTTTGTTACCAATATGGCCCTCAGATAAAACAACAGGGTCAGATATGAGTTGAATGTTCCTACTTTCAATATTAATAACAGTCAAAAATCCATAATCATGTTAAAGAAAAAGGCCATTTCAAAAAAGCATTTTAGGAAGAAATTTATCTGAATATATTTGTGTGAATGTATTCATGCTAAAGTGGGATGAGAATCCAAAATGCCTTGTAATGGTTAAGTTTTTTGACGGGGAGATGATGGTAGTGAAGAGACCTTCTACCTCATTATTCTGGGCCAAACTCATGTAATTAATCTATTTCCTTAAACAACCATACAAAATGGAAAATTCTGGATCCAGAATGTTATGTTCTGGAACAAGCTAAACTGAGAGTTCCAGGATTGGTCTATGCGTTCTTGGAAGGGTATCACCTGGAACATGAAGGAAAAAATGGTTTTCTGGAGGTAAAATAAAAATTTCAAAGAAAAAAATGAAATATTCCAGATAACTATTATATGCACATAACTATTTCCATTTGCTTTAAAATGTCATTATTATGAATGTTTCCCAATTATCTGCAGGAAATCTGGAAGATTCTTGAAAGAAGATGGAATACATATCCAATTGCTGGTTGAAGATTTCGAATGTGAAGATTTTGCCAAAGGAATTCTAGAAAAGATGAAGTGGTACTATCTGAACTGCTGCCTCCCCAGTATTACATTTGTTTTCTTCTACTCTGCTAGCTTTCGTTAAATAAAAGTCAAAATGCTTTCTCTTTAAAATATTTGTTCATTCATTCTTCCACCCATCCATCCATCCATCCATCCATCCATCTATCCATCCATTCATTCATTTATTCATACCAAGGAGATCGGGGTTGGCTTATCCTGGATCAAGCCATGAAAAGTATCTGAAAAGAGAAATCTGAGACGGGAAGGATGCTGTGATTTTCTTACCAAATCCTACAGTAAAGGATATCTTCCAGGTACAATCACTGTTGCTAGGGTAGTTTCCAGGAAAGCCGGGGCTCAGGATGACACCTTCCATCTCTTCCAAGATTCCGCCACACTGGGCTGTTAAAATTACAATAAAGCAGTTGGTCATAAACTATTCAGATGTCTTTGTCTTTGTGCTGAGTGACTGTTAGGACCACGGAAGAAAGAGGTGATGGATGGGCACTGGATTGATTGCTGAAGGTTCGGTGTACCCCATCAAGAACATATTTAAAAAGATTAATAGGGGATGCCAAATCCATTGCTAGACAGATTGAATTATGTTCAACTAAGTCAGGCATAGCAAGTGGTTCATCGATTTGCATGTTAATCCAAACCCTTCACCAAATGTGCAAATTCTTTATTTGAAATTTAAAATGAAGTCATAATATACTGAAATAGAATTTAGAATGCAGGCGACATCCTCAGGGAGCTATATTTCATGAATGAAGCCTGGGGGTTGATTCCAGTTCTTGGTCCTCATTTGTTCACCCTCCAAGTGGAACTAACAAGATGGCGTCACCTAATATTGTGTCAAAATTTATCACACTATTTTTTTTCACACCAACTCGGAGTGGAGTGGTGGGTCCATGAAGGACGGTTGCTAAAAAAATCAATATGGTGGCCACAACTGCACACTGGAAGCCCTGCCCTTTTTAATATGTGTTACAAGTAAAAAAGGGGGGTATGGACTTGATCTTATGATCATTGCTGTGGCTGCCATTTGACTTTTTAAAGCCACTCTATGAATATCCCTCCCAAACAGATAAATTTCTATTCTAGGGACCATGGGACCATTTCCTTTCCCACCATGTGCTACCCATATGCCAACAAGGTAACTTATGGAGGTTATGCTTTCCTGTTCTCGACTCCTAGATTTGGGTCAATTTTCCATCTTCAATTGTATATCTATAATGGGAAGAAGAAATAACTTTGAGGGACAGAAGAAGAGCCGCAGGCAAAACAATGATTGGATAAAAGAAAATTGAGTCCAGAGTGAACTTGTAATCTGAGAAAGTAAGTGTCTCAGGCTTGACCTTCCCTTGTTCTCATGAAGATCAAGCATATTCAGACTTGTAAGATTCTGTTACTGAAGCCTTATAATAAAAATAGTATTAGCATTCATAACGTTGGTTTTCTAGTCTAGTATACCTTGAAGGGCTCACAATATCCAGCATGACTTCTTGGACTATAATAGACATCTAGCTCCCTTCCATTTAGTCCAAAACAGAACCTAGAGGACTATACTTTTAATCCACCCTGACATTTGACAGCACAGATTCCCTTCATTACATGAATTTTTCCCCCTGCTGATTCTATTGCTTTCTAATTTCATGCCTCCTGATGTCTGTTTAAATGAAACTCCTTCTCAATTATTTAAAAAAGGGGAACATCTGGATAAAAGAAGACAGGAAATCTCTAGTCAGTCCATTTTGTAGGGACACGGTAGCTGTTTATCAAAACTTGATTGCTTCTGTCTTTTGGAATGTGACACAACAATATTTATATCTCTCTATTATCATTTTTTTTTCAGCAAGAAAGGAAAGGAAAGCATAGTGTCAAAGGGTATTTCTTATTCAGGAGGTGCAACCAGAAAATCAGGCATACTGATGCAACAAATTAAGCACTCTGTTTCTAAAAGGAGGCAGTAAAAACAAACACATGCAATTTTTTTATTTAGGTGTTTTATAACCATAGAACATAAAATAACAATGTTGGAAGAGACTTTTGAGATATTCTAGTCCAACCTTTTGCTCAAGCAGGAGGTCCTATACTATTCCAAACAAATGGCTGTTCAATCTCGTCTTAAAAACCTCCAGGGATGGAGCAAGCCTTTTCACTTGTTCTCACTATCAGGAAATTCTTCCTTAGTTCTAGGTTGGATCTCCTTTTAATGATCTTCTCCATTGTTAATTCTTATCCTGCCCTCAGATGCTTTGAAGAACAGGTCGACTCCCTTTTTTCTGTGACAGCCCCTTAAGTGGGTCTATGACAATTCATCATGGCCAACTCGCAATGGCCAACTCATCACAGTCAACTTCCTGTAACCAAATCACTGCAGGACAACTCGCCTGTCAGATCCGTGTATCTGTCATTTCTTCAGTGGAAGAAGAAAAGTGGGGGAGGCTGGTAAAGAAATCCTTTCTTGATGTAACCTGAATATATTTACTCTTATATCGAATTTGTATAACCCACACATGATACAATGGAGGGAGAAAAGCCAGATGGCCGGAACCTATCACCTCTGAGAAGCACAGCCAGGAGATGAGAAGGTCATAAAAATTCCACAGTGAGATTGTACTTTGGGAATCTCTTGAATAGTTTGTTCTAAAAAGGGGGTAGGGGGGAAATTAGGTATGCCCTTGGAAACTGTGAAAAAGATTGTTCCTTACAAAAGGGGTGGGGAGGAAATAACATACTGGCTTTTGTTTCACTAATACACATTGAGATAAGGGCAGGGGTTCTAAACTCCCTTATCTGTCCTTGTATGCCTGAGAGACCTCAGACGCTGCTTTGAACTCCTACATGAATTGTCTCATCTCAATAAAGGATTCCTTTTTGATACGTTTTGATACGTTTTCAGAAGTTCATTCTAGATGAGTGAATGGGAAAAGTTCTGTAGCCTGACATCACCATAGCCAACTTGTCACAGGACAATTCAATGTAGCACAAGAATTACACTAATATCAAAGAAATAGTGGAACAGAATCATTAAAGAAAGGATGCAAAAGGAGGGACAAAATGAAATATGAATGGCAAAAATTAAAATAATTTTTATTTATTTTAAATAATTAAATAGAATTGTTAAATTGTCTCATGGTGAGTTGTCCCATGGTGAGTTGGTCGTAGCGAGTTGGCTATGGCAAGTTGTCCCATTTTTCCCTCAAGTACTGGAAAACTGCTATCATGTCATCTCTAGTTCTTCTCTTTGTTAGGGTAGACATAACTAGTTCCCTCAATCATTCATCATACAGTTTATCCTCCAGGCCCCTTATCATCTTTGTTGCTTTTTTCTGCACTCTTTCTAGGATCTCAATATCTTTTCATAGTGAGCAGAATTGGGTTCATCAATCCACAACATTACAAATGAAAAGACAATTTAGCTTTCTCTCTGTACATCAATATATTTTACTTTAAGAAATATTGAACATTATATGATGCATAAAAAATAGCCAGACATTGTGCAAAAGTAAAAGAAGGATGGGTAAAATTGAAGCAGTGTGTGGACAACCATTCCAGTTTTGAGACTATTGTTCCCATTTTCTGTTTCTTTTCTTCTCTCAAAACAGGAGATTTTCTGCTTCTTTTCTTCCCCAAAACAGGAGATTTCCAAAAAAGGTAAATAGGGTTGATAGAAGTGATATTCTGCATGGGAGTTTTAAAATTAAACCATGGGGCACATGTACTTTAATTCTGAGGAAACTGCGAGATCAGGAATATCTCTAAGATGTACTAAAAAAACCCTCAGGATTACGATGATGGAATCTCTGCCTTTTTAAAAGAGAAAAATAGAGAAATTATCATCATTGAAGAGTGACATGCAAAGTTTGATGTGATATGTGTGTATGTGATTGTTCTATCTTTTACTGTTCAATGAAAATTGTTTTAGTTTTTGATTGGGAGTCATCCAGAGTTTATTATAAGATAGGCAGCTATATATATATATGTTTTAAATAAACAAAACATAAAATAAAACCTGTCAGCATTCTTCCTGGCTTCTTAAGTTTCTTGAAATCTCAAGAGATATGTCAGAGAGAATTCCTCCTCTTTTTTTTTTTTATAGATTTGTGCAACGAGGTTTCCTTGTTCAGAATGATAAAATAATGAATAATGGAAACATCAAGACCAGGAAAAGCACCATATATACTAACTCAAATGACAAAACAAAATTTAAAAAAGTATTAAGAGAAACATTGCTTCTGCTTTCTTCCCCTTATTCCCCAGAGGATTCAGAATTTATTTTAAATTTCTCTCTGAATGGGAATATTTTGTAGCTTACTACATACTGGGTGTCAAATTTCACTCCTGCAATTCAATGTATTGTGCAATTCAATGCAAGTGTATGTTCAATGTCACATCTATTGTGGATCAATGTTTTGAAAGTCACTAAGGGTTTACTGCATGTGGGGAAAATGACTTGCAAGACCTCATCTTTTAAGCTGATCTGTCACTTGTTCCTTTGCTCAAAATCGGGCAAGGGTTTTTATACTAACACTGATTCAGCTGTTTTATGCTAATATTGATTCAACTGTTTCCATGTTCGTGGAACAGAGGTCTGCAGGCAGACAAAATAAAAACGTTCGATGAAGTGCAAATAAGGGGGAGGCCACCTTCAATTACTGTTTGTAACTGAGTGGAACAAAATGTTTGTGGGCTGAACATGGGAAAAGAGACACAGGATACAACACAAATAGAAAAGAACAGAAGACAGAAGACAAAAATATATTAAAACATGATATCCCTTTTGAAATAACACTTTTTGGTGAACACTAGCTTGGTTCATAGGAAACACCAAGATCTAAAACACAATTGCCACATTCACATAAGTGTAAATCAATAAATCAAGGATATTATACTTATAAAAAGTTTGTGTGGTTTACACGGCATGCTAAAAATGGTTGTCCCAAAGGTGCTTTTTTCAAGAGGCAACTGGATTTCTTTGTTTTTCCTTGAACACATTTTGCTTCTCATCCAAGAAGCTTCTTCACTTCTGAAGAACTGAACTGAACTGAAGAAGCTTCTTGGATGAGAAGTGAAACATCTTCAAGAAAAAGCAAAGAAAGCTCAGTTGCTTCTTGAAAAAAGCACCTTTGGGACAACCATCCCCTGGATGACTGAGACTCTCTAAAGACATTTAAAAATAGTTGAGTTTTGAGAACATACTCTACCACAAGCTATCCAAACCCATTTTAGTTTAGCCTGGCATGTTGGGTTAACACAACCCTTAGAAAGTACTTCCTTTAGGCTGGAAGAGACAATGGCGATCATCTGGAAATTACAAAAATGAATGACTATTTCACGGCAAGATCAATGGTTCGCCTCCTGTTTCCACTTCCCACTGTTGCTTTTATTCCTGTCGCAGAGAACAATTATTCTGACCAGAAAAAAAAATGAAGCTTTCAAAGTACTACCCTAACTTCATGTCCTGCATCAAGTTGATTATTATTATTCCAAAATTATTATTTTTAACAAATCCACAAAGCCAATAGGAAAACCAGAGAGAATCACAATTGCAGCAAAATATTAAGTCATTAAGGTCAGAACAGGCTCCTACATGCACGTACAGATAACTGCTAGAAAAAGCCTCTATTTATTGGCTACGGAGTATACAACCTGGAATAAAGTATTTAGATGATGAGTTTCATTACCTTAAACTGGGGAGATCATACCTTTTATAGGAGACAGACTGACTATTCTCGTCCTTGCATAAATCACTGAAGATCTAGTCTAACAGATGTTCTTTGGGTATTGTTTGTAATCTTGGCAAGATAGCAATCACATTCATCTATTACTGACCTCATTCCTATCTGGGAAAAGACACTTATTTGTGGCATCTTTGTTTTCTACAGACAAGAGGTGGCTAAAATTGAGCACAAAAGCTTACAAGATAGCTTGCTGTTTTAAAGAGAGATGAGAGAATATGAATACAGCATTAGATGAGAATACAGTTTCACAAAAGAAGCATTTCTTCAACATTCAGATGCTCACTAATATGTGAGAGAACAGTGGAACATCAGAAAGTAACATGAATAATTAAATGTTACAGATAAAGTACTCAACATATAACAAGGATTATCATAGCTGGAATTTTTCTTTCTCAAAGCACACACACACACACACACACACACACACACACACACACACACAAACACACACACACACACACACACACACACACACACACACACACAGAGTCCTCAGTCCAAGGCTTGGATCAGATATGCCAAGGAAAGACTGCAACACATGGTTGCAGTGCCCTGTTCATTCCTCCTCTTCCTAATAAGAGTCAATTTTTGGGTAGACAGGGTAGAACTTGGGAAACCATAAGTTCTAGTTCTCCATTGGGCTTTTAATCCAACCCACCTTTCATGATGAAACAGGTGGTGGGGCCATTTATTTTTGAAATGTTCAAAAATAAAGCTCAGCTATTAAATAATTAAATAGCCTCGTTACTGAGGAAGGAAGGAAGGAAGAAAAGGGGAGGAGATGGGAGGGGAAGGGAGAGAAAAAGAAAGGAAAGAAGTGAGGTAGAAAAGGGAGGGGAGAAAGAAGAGAGGGAGGAAAGAAGACAGGTGGGAGAGAGAGAAAAAGGTGGGAGGAAGGTGAGTCCTTGGCAAGGAACTAAATAAACTTTTACCTATACAAAGTGGAGGAGGATAGTTCCAGCGTCGCACAGTTCCTGGCATGCAGGAAATATGAGAGTGCCCCTGAAGCACAGGCAGAAAGAAAGAAAGAAAGAAAAAACCATTAGCAAGTAGGAAGCAAAAAGGAATTGAGAAACAAGCCAAATGGAAAGGATAGTCAGGGTACCTATCTCAGCCAAATAACATTCTTTAGCAAAGAATGGAAGCGATACATACTACAGCCTGGAATTCTAAGATAAGATAGCTTTCTTTCATTAATGAGCAAAACATCAAGAAAAGAGCTAAAGGTACACTCAAAAACGAAAATAGACAAAAGACAAACAAATTTTAAAAAAGAAAATATTGTACACTGATGTGTCTGTATATGTGTGTCTACACACACACACACACACACAAATACACACAACTTTATGGATAAATATGAGATGCTCAAAAAAAGTGCAATAATAGTATTGAATATGGGTATTGAAAGTGTTTCTACCCAAAATGACATTTATCAGGAAAATGTATTATGAAAAAAGTGTTAATTATATTTAAGAAATGTTACAATATGGTACAAATATAAATAATTTTGAACACACAGTACCTTGCTTTAATTCTGGAAAGTTTAACTCTACAGTTCTAGTGTTTTATTTTGCATTAATTTTTCAGCAAAACCCATCTCCCATACTTCTAAACACCACTGATCCAGAGAAAGGTGTAAATTTGATTTTTCAATATTTTCCAGTAAGATACCTTGAGCTAACAACAGGAAATGAAATTAATTCCTTGTGCTGCATCAATTTTTACACCACAAAGCAACAGGAAGGTTCAAATTACTCAATTTTCCGGAAGTCTTCAAACACTTTTAACCAAAGGCATCCTCACCAAAGATGTTAAAAATGGATCAATTTGATTGCAACCTCTCCAAAATAACCTGGAAAGATTGCTCTTTATATAATTTGAGTGGCACCTACAGTTGCTCTTTATATTTAATGATGATGTCTTGTCAAAAGAGACTTCCAAAGAAAGGTTAGGCCACAAAGTTACAATAATATTCTTTGCCTTCAAGTACGAAATATTTCGCTAGTGTTCTTTTGAGAGATTCAGGAAGCGCTATGATTGAGATTGAAAGTTTCATACTACACTGATGTGATTCCCTTGATTTTAACTGAGGTTGCTGTATTCTATGTCAAATGTTACTCATGTTCATCTGATAGGATTTTGCAAACTTATTCTAAGGGAAGTTGTTTTTCAAATTTGGCAACTTAAGTATTTTTCAAACTTAGCATCCTGGCTCAGGAATTCTGAGATTTGATGTTCACATACCTTATGATTGCCAAGTTTTAAAACACTGCTCTGAGATAATTATATAAAGTTCATACAATAATTTTCTTCCCAACTTTTCTTTTCCATGGTAGCCAGACATTAGAATGGGCTGTGATACTGATGTCTCAATTTACCTTGACAAAGACAATGATTTTCAATCCACTTTAACTCTTTTTTTTTTTTTCAAAATTAAATAATTATTTGGAGAGTGGGTAGGTACCTGGAGAGCATATCCTGGCTCGCACTGAAAGGAGACCACATCATTCACCACATATCTTTCACCAATTTTCAGGCCATTACTGGGGACAGCTGGTTCTGGGCAACTGGAGAGACCCACAGCTAAAAAAAAAGCACAAACAGTTAATCGGTATGTATTTAGCATTATCCATTTATGCACGTATCACTACTCAAACAGGCTGTAGCTACTGTAGATACCATGAATTAAGAAAATTCATCCCACTTTCCCGGTGTTTTTTCTAGAGAGCTAGTTCTTCACATAATGTGTCTGAAGTAGGATAATTTGAACTTGGACATTGGTTCCTTGAGTAAAGATGCTGGGTTTGATGATCCATCAGTTTGTTTTCTTGGCCAATTTACAATTAACAGAGTCAGGTCTTAAATATCATTTTCTATTAGTATTATTGCAATACCTTGCACCTTGGATGAACTTCAGCCAGCACAAGTCAGCATTGTTTGATGTCACCCTGACTTGTCTGAGTTTTTTCTCTCCCTGCCAAGCCTTCTTGGAGATCATTTCCTCAAACTTGTTTCATGGAAGGCATCATCTGAGTCCCTGACTTCACTTTTCAGAGATCCCAAGGACAGATTCAGTGCATTATGGCTCAGCGCTGAAGTCAGGTGAAGACTTTTCAGCAGAATTGGCCCATGGGATATTCTCAGTGCAAGTATGTGAAAAAGCTTCGCCTTTTCCACCATCCCTCTTTTCTGCTCTTTATCTTATACTGTGTAGCAAAACATAGGATAAGAGCCATGGTGGTGCAGTGGTTACAATGCAGTACTGCAGGCTACTTCTGCTGACTACCGATTGCCAGCAGATTGGCAGTTCAAATCTCACCAGGCTCAAGATTGACTCAGCCTTCCATCCTTCCAAGGTTGCTAAAATGAGGACCCAGATTGTTGGGGACAGTATGCTGACTCTGTAAACTGCTTAGAGATGGCTATAAAAGCAATGTGAAGTGGTATATAAATTGCTATTGCTATAGGAATAGAATATCAGTCATAAGATAGGAATGGAACAGATCAGAATAGACTCATTGGATTGGATTGGTCTCCTAGTCCAATGCTGCCCAGGGCAAGAATTCTCATACTGCCCCAGAAAAGGCTATCCAACTTCCCCTTGAAAGCCTCCAGTGATGGAGTTTCCATGACTCCAGGAGGCAGGCTGTTCCATTGCTTAATACTCTGATGATCAGAAATTTCTTAATTTTGAGTTTGGATCTCTCTTCATAAAGTTTCCATTCTTTGGTTCTTGTCCTTCCCCCAGATAAGCCCGCATTCTCATCCTTGTTACAATCTTTCAAGTATTGCTATTATGCTTCAGCTACACTTTCTCTTCTTTAAGTCTAAACATACCCAATTCCATTAACCATTCTTCATAGGTTGCAAGCCTTTCACCATCTATGTTGCTTTTTCTCTGAATACTTTCCAGTTCCTATGTTGCCTTGGATGAACAGAACTGGACACTGTATTCTACATATGATGTGATCAATGCATCTATTTACTTCCCATGATCCCAATATTCTACCTCTGTTGATGTAGCCCAAGGTTGCATTGTCTCTTTAGTATGGTACAATGCAGCACATGGTATCTGCAGCATACTAAATCTGCTTAATTTGTATTCTATCAGGAGTCTCTGATCTTTGTCCAATCGATGGAAATACTTCTAGCCCCAAACTTGCTTATTTTTTTTTTTGCATGAGGACCAACATTCATTTTTTTTAAAAGCACTTAGAACCTTAAACCTCTGAATCATTGCTGCAGGGAGCTGAAAAATGGTACTAAATGAATGAATGCATATGGTGATATAAAGGATTTTTCACTGAATAGGCTTTCTGGGGTTTTTTAGCACTCAAAAATCTAAAGATGAGTTAAGGCAAGAGAAATGAAAGAGTATTTTTGAGTTTCTAAAAACAGCCTCCAGAAAGGGAAGGAAAAGAAAGCCTTTTAAGAGGCACTTTGTTGATATGTCAAGGAAGCCACAAAGCAAAAATATATATTTAATCTCTCTTTATAAGCTCCATCTTTTTCTGCTCCTGGAAATGGCCAGTTGAGCAGCTACTCCCACTATTATCCTTGTATTTCTGTATGGGAACTAAGCTCTGAAAGCTGATTAATTCCACAGCACTTTGCCCTGGAGAACTCTTTACAGCTTGGTATCAAAAATGTTATTGTTATGAAGTGCCAGATATGCAGGTGCCTTTACAGCATGAAATTTGTCTTGACATGAGGAATGCATAAAGCTGCTACATTGATTTAGTTTGTTGATCTACCTAGTCCATGAATACAGCAACCGTGAACAGTGCAAGGCAAAAACATCTTTTATTCCCTCTACTGGACAACTCACTAAATGTACTGGAGACTGATCAGGAAATTTTCTGCATAGAAAAATAATGGAAGTATTGAAGACTTCATATAATGTATCATTTTTAGCTGGATGGAATGGTTCTCAATCATATTATTTTTCAGAGTTTCAAATTTTCATGATTTTTATCAAACAAATCATTTTGAAGATGCTGTGTATTAGGCCACGACTTTGTTGTCCATCAACCTGTGTGTTCATTAAACTATGATATCTAGTTGATTATTGCACCATATTACTTTTCATTAAAGAATTAATTGAAGATAAGAGGTGGAAAAGCTCTTGAAGATCATCTCATCCACCCTTAACTTCTTTTCATGAATCTACAGCATTCCTGTTACCTTGCCAACCAGCCTCTGCTTACACACCTCCAGTAAATCCACCATGTCCTGAACAATTATTATTATTAATAATTTTTCCCTGATTTTCACCTGCAATCAATTTCCTTACGTTTTGTGTTCTTGTCCTATCTTCTGAAACAACTCTGAACTATTCTGCCTCATCTTTTACATCATGGCAATTCAGATATTGAACAACTATATTTTTTCCTCCAAGCTAAATAATCTTCAACTGTTTCTTGTAAAGTTTTTCTTCCAGGTCCCTTATCATCTTAGTTGAGAAGGACACCCCTAATTTTTTAATGTTCTTCCTAAAATATGGCTGGAATCAGTTATACTATTCTCAACATACTATAGTTTGAACAATGTGGAATAGAGAACAATGATTTCTTTCGGTCTTGACATTATATTTGTTGTCTCATGTTCAATTCTTGATCTCCAAAATATCAAAGTTTCATATGCATTGTTGCCCAGAATGCCTGCCTACATCACCACCCGTTCCATAATTAAACCTGCGATTTTTCTTACTCAAATGTAGGGCTTTGCATTTAATCTTGATGGTTTCTGCCCAGCTTGTCAAAGACCCCCTGAATCTTGATACTGTTCCTTATGGTGTTTATTATCACTGCATCTTTCTGTTGATCTTTTCTAACCCGTCATCCATGACATATGTTGAATTACATAAGCCCTAGAATGGTATATTTCACCCCATTTGATGGAGAGCCATTGACATACACTTTCAAACGTTTGTTCGGTCAGTTTTTCTCCATCTGGTAGTAGCACAGTCCAGCTCATTTTGTTATCTTATTTATGAGAATCTCTTAAACTTTACTGAATGTTTTGCAGAAATCAGTTAACTAGAAGATGATGGTAGAACTGTGGGCTTAAAGCTTTCCTTCAATATGGCAGAATCCCAATTAAAGTGCATTAAAATCACAACACTATTATTTAGCCCATGGTGGAAGCTTCAAGAATTACATCCTGCACCACTAATTCTACATTCAAAATGTTATGACTCAGGAATACTCCCCGCATGTAATGCATGTGTCCAGTCCCTATGCAAATGAATATATCATACATGCTGATGATCTTCTCTGGTGGAGTGAAAAAGGACACTGCTGTTGTTTTTTCCACCATGGGACTTCCTTCAGAAGCTGACTGGCAAGGCCCAGCAAGGACCATCTGTCCTGATAGTCTCAGCCTAAACTCTGGCTGTGGCGGGGATACAGTGCATAGATTATATCATGCACCTTTGGGCTTCAATTGGGCTTCAATTTGACCATTTCAACACATGAAATTGTTGAGGTGCTTGGTTCAGTATCACATGAATTATTTTCTACCTCCCGCCCCGATCAGCACTCGATAGGGAGAGATTATGGCACGTGGGATAAGGGTTTTTTCTCCAACTTCTTTGTAAAGTTCTCTTCTAGAAAAGAGCCTTTGGAGAAGGACCATCACTCATAGAATAAGAGTTGGAAGGGACCTTGGAGGTCATCTAGTCCAACTCTCTGCTTGAACAGGAGACCCTATACCATTTCAGACAAATAGTTGTCCAGTCTCTTCTTGAATGCTCCAGTGTTGAAGCCTTCCACAAGCCTATTCCACGGATTGATTGTTCTCACCATTAGGAAATTTCTTCTTAGTTCTAGGTTGCTTCTCTCCTTGATTATTTTCCATCTATTGTTTCTAGTCTTACCTTCAGGTACTTTGGAAATAGTTTGACCCTCTCATCTTTGTGGCAGTCCCTCAAATATTGGAACTTATATGGAGCTTTAACTCATTTGTACAGAGCTTTAAGTGCTCCAGTTTGCTTGTAGGGCTGGGCAATTATGGCAACTTTACAACCTGTAGACTTCAAATCCCCAAATTCCCGAGCCACTACTCTAATTCTAGCAAAATCTTTTTAAAAAGGGAGGGTTCAGAGGCCAAGTCTAAAGAAGATTTAGCTCTCCCACCCATACTTCCTGTCTTCAATTACTCCATAAATCCTTTAGCTTAAGGCCATGAAAAACTAATGCCAATCAGTATAGCTAGGAATGAAAGTATTGGTTTTATGACCAGACGAGATAAATCTTTAAACAGCATCCATAGTTAGATAGCAAAGAAAATGAATGAAACCTTAGATCAATCTCCAGCATCTCTAATTAACTAGCTCCATCTTTTGTGTCCACCTGATAAATCTCAGAAATAAATCTTGAGGGGATGGAAAAGGATAGTTTAAATTTTAATTCAGGGAAGAAGTATTTGCTAACAGGGAGACAACCATTGCATTATAATCATTACACAATAGTGTATATATTGACAAAAACATTAAGTGATCTTTGAAAAATCAATAATCTTTTTTTAAAGTAAGATTGGCTATTGTACACAAGGAAAGATGTTTTATGATCTGTTCCAAGCTCCATAATTTCAAAAAATACTGTTCCTTTAAAGAACTATATGGATCAACAAAAGTACAATTTGCAAACCACAGGAAATAATAGCACTATCATTTGAAAGTTTTCAGACAAAATCAAAACAGGTTAGAGAAGGATGGTGAAGAATATTCTTTCGATTCAGGTATATTAAGGAGGGATTTAAGTCCTCGAAGGCCTGAATAGGAACAACAAAGGGTCACAGAACTAATCCTCCATAATGAATGTAGCAATTTTACCTAGATGTTGTGGGCAGCACCTTCCTCTCAATCTCAGAAATCCCAGCATTACATATCCCAACATAAATTTGGCCCCACTACAGAAAATGCCATCCCTCAATTGAATAGTGACCAGATGTTGGTGACAGGTTTTCTACTATTTGATCGAGGACACGCTATACCTGGAACCCGGTACCCAGTTCTAAGTATTTCACTTTTTCTTTTCAGGAATACTGGAACAGGTCAAGAGAAGGTCAGTGAGTATGAACAAGAGATCAGAGCCTAATTTCTACATGGAGGAGCTAAAGGGAATAGATATATTCACCTTTGAAAAAAGAAACTAAGAGGAAATATGATATCATTTTGGAAAAACCTGAAGTACTATAGAAGGCAGCCAAGACATTATTATTCCAAAATCTTGGACATGAAATAAAAGATTTAAATTACAAGATGGCAGATTTCAATACTAATTACACGTTCAGAAATATCAGTTACCAGGGAAGATGGTAGGTTCTCATTCAATAGATGACTTCAACTTGAAATTACAGAATCATTTATTTGAGACACTGGGTTTGGGAAGCTGGATTCCTGCATTAATCTGGGATTTGGGCTCAATGGCCTCCTCCAATAGTAACACTTTTTGGATTAATTTCTAGGTTCTATAGTTAATTGGTTTAAATTCAAACTGTTCCAGTTTCCATCCAAGGCACTTCTTTGATAATTTACCATTCAGTGATTGTATATCCCATCCCTTTTTTCGAGTTGCTTGGGTTTACTGAATCTGGGATCTATCAGAAGCGGGACATGCCACATCTCCCATTTGCATAATGACTGCAACTCAGCACACACAATCTAAACAATCGGCACTGCCCTGAAATGAGCTTACTTTTGTACTCCAGGTGAAATCCAGCAGCAGAGACACTGATGTCAGAGTAGAAGTGCAAATACAGCTGGTTAGAGGTACTGTTGAGCAAGGCAGGGACAGTGGTACCTAGTGGAAGGAGGGGGGAGAGGCACAAGAGGAAGGAATCAGTCAGAGGGCATATTTTAGAGTGCTAGGAGAGGATCCGGTTCATGCCAATCTTGATATGCTGGCTGGGGAATTCTGAGAGTGAAGTCCACACATCTTCAGATTGCCCAGGATACATTGCTCTAGATGGATTTTAAAAGTATGAACATTTCATATAATTGAAAGCTTTGTCAATCCCTGCCAAGTAAAAATAAGTGGGAAGCAGAGGAAAGCACCATCTGGTGGAATCTGACATGGAGTCCCAGGTAGGAAGGGTTCTTTCCCTAGGAGCTAAAAGGTCTTGAATCCCTGGTATGCAGAAAGAGGCCCAGAAGGGACCCTCCCTTATGGTTCATATGGTATATTTGTATAGTTTGTATAACTGAGTGTGTTTTAGTCTGGAATCCTTTCTATAGGCCTGGAACAATAAAAAAAAAACCTAGATTCTTGTGCATAATGTATTGCAGCTTAATGTATGGTCCTAATCCTTTGTTAGAGGAGGGTAACCATAGAAAACCAGTCTGAGTAATTCAAAGTGTCATTCTTCATTCCTTGCACCTAACATACTTGTGTCTGATGTGTTCTTTTATATACCACTTACACTTTTCAGATACATCCAGTGGTGGGATCCAATTTTTTTTTTACTACCAGTTCTGTGGGTGTGACTTGGTGGATGTAGCAGGGGAAGGATACTGTAAAATCTCCAGTCAGAGGTGGTATTTGCCGGTTCTCTGAACTACTCAAAATTTCCGCTACCAGTTCTCCAGAACGGGTCAGAACCTGCTGAATGCCACCTCTGGATACATCACTTGCCTTTTCTTATACCACACTGCAATCATGCAATTTGCTAGCAACTTTCTTTATGGAGCATTATTTGTTATGATTAGTCACCCTTTTGTTTCCTGCCTACCTAGCAGTCTCTATCTTTCTTGTTCACACATACTGACAAGGCTCTCTCCTTCATCCTGCAGGGATTTTTTTATTAAATACTTCCTGCTTCACAATTTCTTGTAAGCCAAGCAAGGAATTCAATATGTGAAAGGACCAATCCTTCAAAGAAGCAGCATCCTTCAATTGTGAAGCACCTTGACACTGTGGTTTTTATACTTTGCCATTGTTACACATGTGACTAACATGGCTGTAATGAGACAAACAGCAGTTTACCGCAGAGTATTTGTGGCTGATTGTCTGAAGCTAAATTACACTAATGCTCTCTCTCCCTCCCTCCCTCCTTCCCCCCCCCCTCACTCACACACACACACACAATAATCTCTCTCACAACACAATAATCTCACTCTAGAATTTAGAAATGTTATGGATCATTGGCATGAAGACAAATATCTAATTAAATTGTGTATGTAAACATCGACATCTCATGCATTAATACTATTTCCATTTTGTCATCTGAAGATTTTATGACTTTGTGAATTTTGGGAACTGAGGGTGAGGCAGGGGCATCCAGTTTGTCCATCCCAACTTCCCTATGATTCCAGCTCTTCTTTCAAGTTGATTAAAGAACTGATTTTAGATGCTCAACTGAAGAACAGCAGTGTCAGTGCAAAAACTGGTTTTCTATCATTACTCTGCTCTGTTGGGCACAAATGATCGGGAACGTGCCTTAAGCTGCAATTCAGAAAGATTTATTTCTCAAGTCTATGCACAAGAATCTAGTCAACTAAAGGGAAAATCTGAATGAATAAAGGTCAGTGGAATTCAAAAGGGGTTGGACTTAGACCATTTGTGGCAATGTAAGGATTCTAAGCTGATGACACATTTAATTCTGCCCCCAGCTCTGCCTGCTCCTCTCCTACAGTTCTGGATATTGGTTTCTTTCTCTTGAGAATACTACCTTGGCAGCCAGCTCTGGTTTCAACCCTAAATATCGATTGATTTGATTTGACTTACCTAGTTGCCCATCTCATTTATGTGACTCTGGGTGGCTCATAATAATTATTTATTGAAAATAAATACTTAATATGTAAGCAGTCACATCCCTTTCTATGGTACCTTCAGATCTTACCTGAGAAGCTGCCCAGCATGGTGGCTGTATTGTCCCCTCCATCAAAGACTTCTAGGGAATCCCAGTTCTGTTCTGTAACAAAACTGATCACTTGAATCTGGAAACAGGGAAAAGGCCAGAGAAGGAAAACATATGTGATGGTGATGATAATAGTAACAATTATGATTAACATTACTACTGTTAGCAGTACCATTCAGAATTAAAGGTTACCAGTACTACTATAACGGTACCATTCAAAATGCAATCAGTAAACCAAATGTAATTTGATTTTTTATGGTAGATTCACAAACTTTGTACAACAAATCCTTTTTACACAATTTATCAGTGTAAAAATCTCAGTGTGTCTATTGTATACTAAAGAGCTTTGAAATGCATTGAAGAACATTTTGAGGCCTCTTCTTTGATGCAGTTTTAATTAACACGGGGTTCCAAGTTTCACTGTTAACCCCATGGCAGCTGAGAGCCTGCCCATGAATACATCTTGTAATCTCCCTGCCATGACATATGTCTTAAGTCTGGTGGATAGTGTTCTCAGAACTATAGTGCAGAGGTTAACCAATCTCTCACAGCACAACCCAAATATCTGAAATCTGTCAGTTATGCTAGCTGGGAAATGTTTTCCCCAGAGACACCTGGTTAGGGAATTCTGCTTTAGACAGACCAAACTAAGAGGTGAAATCTTTAATCCTAGATCTTGATCGTACACACTTTCTTCTTGCAATGGGGATTTTTTTAAAAGTAAAATTGCATGCCACATAAAACATTTTTCATTTAATTATGATATCTGCCCTTTAGCCAGGATGGCATTTGGGAGGAATTTATCCCATGGAAATGCAAAATGTGTTTTTTACTGAAGGCAATAGGAAAAAAAAAGTGATGTGTTTGGCAGGGTGACTATAAATAACTGTTTCTGACATTTTCAGTTGTTTTCCTGCTTAATTTGTCCTAAAGCCATTTTGTGAAAACTTTAAATCAAAACATAAACGAAACACAAAAGCCTTTGGAGTTCATCTCAACAAAATGCTAATAACCCCCACAGAGCCTTTACAAATTGCTCTGGAGTCTACATAATTACCCAACTTGTTTGATAATATATTAACAGCTTTACAGAGCAAAAGTTTTTTTTTAAAGGAAGATAAAAACTAATATAAAGTAAGAAAAAGAAAGAAAAAAGAACGGCAAAAGTGCAAGAGTGGAAAAAAAATAGAAGAGAAATAATTATCCAACTTGTAATGATTTCTGTATAATAGAACTGAAAGTTAGTTTTATTCTCCTTTTCATTCCTCACTTCTTTTTCAGAAGGTTTTTTTTTTTGCGGGGGTGGGGGAATGAAGGAAGGAATTCTAAAGTTGTAATTCTAAAATGATGTTGAAGATTTCAGAAATTGCAATGTATATTTACTACCAGGCAGAATTGCTGCTTAGGAAATGAATAATTCATATAAAAAGTCATAGCTAGTGAACAGATTATATACAATCTCCCTGGTCAGATACTGTCTATAGTCCACTTCTAAGAATGCTTTCATTCTTTCCAGTTCATCTGATTTGCCAGGATTAACCTGGAATATAAAACAGAAATCGATAGAAGTCTAATACAATTCAGATGTTATATGCTCAGTTGGCTATCCTTAAAACACTCTGGTTATGTTTACAGCAAAACAGAGTTGCCGACAGCCAATTAGACCTTAGACACACATGTTAAACTGTCAATTCAGCTCAAATGTCTGCACAGTTATATGAAGATCCTAGCATATGAATGAGGATCATTGTCCATGCAACAGGTATGTCGCTTATGCTTATAAGGACCTACTTCATTCCTTTACAAACAGGTCAAACACCTTTCTTCAAGGCTGGGTTTCAGACAACACCTGTTTGAGCAGATCAGTGACAGAGCCAGGTAAATATTAACCTCAGATAGTTTCTTTTTTTCCTGGTTTAAGATCTTGTATGAATCCAGGCTGCTTAGTTCAGTTTAGTTTAATAAGAAAAGGTACATTCAGTAAGTACAGTGTTGTAACAATGCAGATTTTATTGTGCATTACCAGTGCAAGATTTCCCAGAAAGCTTTCATGAAGTCATGGCTATCTTCACTAAGACATGTCATGCCATGATTTCATCATGATAATGACGCAAATGATATAGTTTGCTTCAGTTGCATCTCATTTCTGTGATGACATAATGAAATGCATGGTACTGTTCCAAACTTAGAATATTGAGAGTGTATTTTTTCAAGAAGAGGGGTGGGAGTGGGTGTGTGTGAAACTACATTTTCCTGAAATATACTTCTTCTTGTTAATATCATTAGCTTCAGTTTGTATAATCTATTAGCTTCTAAATACATCCTAATTTAGATATTACATTCCAAGGAAACAGAGCAAAAACTGTATTAATAGCAGATTGGTTCTCCCAGTAGCTCCTTCTCCAACTCCACTGAAATTAACAAATGAATGGAATAAATTATCACCTTGATATCAAAAGTGTCAAATGTTTTGCAATACATTTAGCGTTTCTGCTAAAATAATCTTCCTTTTTCTCTTCCATGCTATGCTGTGAGAAATACCAATAACAAGGTATACAATTCTCAAAAAATCCAGGTCAAAACTAAGTAAAATAATCTGTTAATCAATTTTGACACCCACAAAAAGATACGCCTTGTGAATTTGGAAGCTGCAAAATGCTCCTATTATGATGCTAATTGCTTCCTTCTCTTTTGCTAGGTTACTGATTCTCTCTCTATTTGATTTAAAATATAAGTTGTAAAAAACTGCAATTTGTATCCTGGAGTTGGATCAGACCTAATTGTTCCTACTAAAACCCAAGAACTTTAGCAAACTTTTCAAAGGTTTTTTAAAGGGCCAGTTCCCTCTCTTTATATAAAGCTAAATACATTTCATTTGAAAAAGTTTTGTGTCAAGAAGATGCTAGTACTACTACTGTCTTTGAACTACATAGTCCTTAGCTAGGAAAGAGTTAATAAGAGGGGTTATTATATATCCCACTTTTTCCATAATAACTTTTCCCAACCTGAAGATTTCCAGATGATGTTTTTTTATTGTCCTAATTACCTAGTCAATTACGTATGTGGAGTCCTAAAGGGCACCAAGCAAGGAAACGTCTGCTATCAGATCATTTCTTTCAGAGATGAAAGTATTTGTGGCTTTTATCTCAGAGAAACCTTTCTGAAGGTTCTGTGTTTTTCTTCAGGCATCGACTTTCATGTTTAGCAATCCTGGATGTCCACTAGCACTATTGAGCATAGTTAAATAAAATAGCTTGAAGACAATATACCGTACTCTTTCACCAAAAAAAAGGATAAAAGGTAAGGGGTAGAAATGACTTTGAAGATCATCAAGCCCAATCTTTCCCCCAGGAAAGAAATCTATAGTCCTTCACTTATGACCACAATTAACTTATGACCACAATGACATACAATTGCTAAGCAAAGCAATTGTTAAGTGAGTTATGCCCCAATTTTATAACATTTTTAACCAAGCTTTTAAAGCAGTTGTTAATTAAATCATACAGTCATTAAGTGAATTTGGACTCCTCTATTACCTCTGCTTGTCAGAAGCTGGCTGGGAAGGTCACAAATGGTGAACAGACAAATCCATGCTGCTTTAACTATTGTAAATAACTGATGGTTGCCAAGTGCCTGAATCTTTACTGTGGGGATGCTGTAAGTACAGGGGGTAGTTATAAGTTTCTATTTGCAGTGCTATTGTAACTTCAAACAGTTGCTAAATGAATGATTGTAAATCAAGGACAACCTGTATATCTGCTGCCCCCACACATCAGGGTTGGTGCAGAGAGCTTTATTCAGTCTGTTCCTCCAACAGTTCTATTTCAGGTTTTCAGTTAACCCCCTTAGCACAATAATTGGCTCATGACCAATTAGATAACCAAAAGCAAAACAAACTTACAGCCAAACCACAAACAGTCTTAGAAATAAAGATTTTGCTTGGGTAGGTTCCAAAAATAAACAGCCCAAATCCCATCTGAGGTCTGGGGCCTCCATTGAGGTTTGTCAACAAGTCCGGTGGTCCGGTTTCAGGGTTGGCAAGGAGAAGTCACAGGGATTATCCAAGCCAGGAGTTCAGGGGGTCATTTTCAGTGAAGCCAACCACGAACAAGCTCCAGACTAACCTTCCAGGCAATGGCCAATTAGTCCACCTGACAGATAACCGGCTGCTCCAAACACAAACACAAACACTCTCCACAACTGAATTAAAACCACGAGCTGCAGAGTCCTGGAAACACAAACAACCATCTGGCCACGACCCATACATGTTGCTTCCAGAAACACCACCCTTTGCCTGCCATGTTAAATAGTCCCTCCCGGTGCAGCCCATTAAGAGGACTCCCCATCAATCTGGCAGATCTCCACCTCCCTGTCCTGCGTGTTCTAGCATCCACTAAGGCAGGGGTGTCCAACCTTGGCAACTTTAAGGTGTGTGGACTTCAACTCCCAGAATTCCCCAGCCAGCATGTGCTGGCTGGGGAATTCTGGGAGTTGAAGTCCACACACCTTAAAGTTGCTAAGGTTGGACACCCCTGCACTAAGGTCAGTAGCTCCTTCCACTCGTCCTCATTGGCCTGTGAGCCAAGGCATGTTCTGCCAGTAGCTCAGGGTCAGCAATACCAGACGTTCCAGGCATGCTCTCATTCTCCCTCAAGGCCTCTGAGGAAGACGTGGATGATCCATCATCCACAGGAGAATATCATTCCCAGACCTGCAATCCTACATGACTTCTCCAGCCAGTTGAACCATTTTTGAACAATTGTTATCATTAGGAAAGTTTTTAGATGTCCAATAAAAACTTAAGTTCCTTGTAACTTTACTTATTGTTTCTTCTCCTGTTTTTTGGAACAACTCTGAACAAGTCTATGAAGTAACTACTATGTTTCTCCACAATAGAATAGAATAGAATAGAATAGAATAGAATAGAATAGAACAGAACAGAACAGAACAGAATAGAATAGAATAGAATAGAATAGAATAGAATAGAATAGAACTTTATCACGGTCTTAGACCAGCAATAGACATCATTATTTACAATATATATAAAAAAATACTGACACATTACAATACATTAATAGTGGATAAAACATCTCTTAAGAAAATACATGTTCTCAAACAGTTACGGGCACTCCCTGGTTTATATGAGTGGAGAGCCAATAAGTATGTGTGTAAATATCATTTTCCAAAGTTTGTTCTATCTCCAAAAATTGGCACAAATTGACAGCTATAATTCTATAATCATTTTTTTTCTAGTAGACATTGCAGCAACACAGAATTTTGCCACTGCACGTGTAATAGCTGGGTTTGAATCCTGGAGGAGAAAGTCTACATAAAAATTGTCTGCCCTCCCTGGCAATCTCTCTAGTAAGGGGAGAATATACAATGACCTATAAACTCTGTATAACTCACAGTACAATAAAACATGTGAGATATCTTCAACTTCTCCTTTACCATATATACATACCTGTTCTGCTATTGGTGTTTTCTTATACCTGCCCTGAAGGAGTGCTGATGGGAGAATATTAAATCTGGCTCTGAAGAATGCTATTCTTTGTTTTGGGAAGATCGGATCATTTAGATATCTTGCTGATTCCCACGCTCCCTGTTTAATTCTGTCCCTGCTATGGTGAGCCAACCTATTTAGTTCTTCCTGGAACTCCACGTCCTTCATTCTATTGATTACTACTTGCTTTGCTTGGTCAAAGCCTAGGGACATTAAGAATAATGGTGAGAGCCCTTGTGGTCTATTGCCTGTTTCTAGGGGGAGGGGTAATTATCAGTCAGTACTGAAGGGGTCAGTCCCTCTGGGAAGAAATGCATTTTTAGCCAATGAATGATCATCATCATCCAGGCCCTTACCTGAATTTGAGGCATGCTTGTCTCAATTCTTACCTGGGCATTTGGAGTTCCTTTGGGTGCAGCTAAGATGGCTCACAGAGATTTGGTTTGTATAGGTTCTAACAAGTTTTTTTTTTTTTTTTTTTGCAAGGATTCCTGTTTGTGTCTCATATAGAATTTGTGCCAATGTTTTGGCCTCAAAAAGTTTTAAGGCCGCAGGTACTAATTGCCCTCCACCGGTGTAAAAAACAAATGTTTAATTGCATTTGAGGACCTATAGTCTGCTTGCAATGTGTGATCCAGGTGTGCCTTCCATGTCCCTTCTGAGTGGAAAACCACCCCAGGATATCTAAATGTCCTAACCTGTTCTAAACTATACTCTTCTATTTTCCAGGAGTATTGTCTTGGTCTTTTTAGCAAAAACTAAAACTTTGGATTTATCAAGGTTAAGGACCAGCTTATTCTGTTTACAAAATTCAAGTGTTGCCGTAATTGCTCTCTTCAGTCCTATTGGAGTTTGTGAAATTATAGCAGCATCGTTGGCATATAGGAGAATCGGGATTTTATGTTGTGCTACGCTAGGAGGATGTAAATCAGGGTTCTGTAAGAGGTTGATCAGAGGATTAATGTAGAAGTTAAACAGGGAGGGGGATAGGATACAACCCTGCCATACCCCTTTTTGTACCCTTACTGGGCCAGTTAAAGTCCCTTGAAGATTACACCTTACTTTCAAGGTGGAATTAGCATACAATTTTTGTATGAGGAAAAGGAGGCCTTTATCGATGGTAGTGCGTTTTAATTTCTCCCAGAGGGTGTTCCTGGATATTGAATCGAAGTTCTGCTTAAAATCAAGGAAGGCCACTAAAAGAGAGGGCTTTTTTTTTATTTGTATAGTGAATAGGTGAGAACTGGTAGAATCCCATCCCTGACCGGGGGCCAGTAAGGAGTTTGGTCCAAACTAATTTGGCTCTCCTTAGTTACATAGTCAAGGTCTGTATATAGCTCTCTAAAATATTCTTCCCAGGCATGAAATGGTTCCTGATTAGTTTGGGGTGGGGGGGGGTTCCCCAATCCTCTAGTGATGTGCCAGAAAAGGGATGTATTTTTTGTCTTGACTGCTGCAATTAATCTATGCCAAGACTCCTTCAGAGCCACACTTTTAGCAGGGTCTTATATTGTGCCTTCAACTGCTTTAAGTAGTGAGTGTGATCCTCAGAAGGGGCATTTTTACTTTCCCTATACTCTTTGTTATATGTCCTTTTCAGTTGTACGCAATCTCTATCAAACCAGTTTTTATTCTTTAAAATTGGCATTTTGGATCGAGCTAGTATTCTGTTAGTGAGAACCGATTTCAAATTTGAAATTAAAGTTTCAAACCCCTCTAAGTATGAACCTTCAAACTTAATTTTTAATAGCGGTGTACAAAGTTCTATTGTTTCTGGCACTAACATCCATTTAGTAACTTCCTTTGCATTTTTCTCGGTCCATTTAATTTTTACCTGGGTATTTTGGCTCTCTAGCCTGGGTAGGTAGATTGAACCAGTCCTTAGAGATTTCTGGTGTAATGTGAGAGTAAAGATTACCGAATTGTGATCATTTTCCAGTCGTGAGTCTACCTCCATCTTTTGCAAGAACTTCTGGAGGTCATATGGTATTATCCAATAATCAACTGTGGATTTTCTTCTTGCTCCCCGATAAGTATATTCTGCTGGGTAGCTGCCTTTTGTGGAACCATTAAGGATACAAAGGTCCAAATGTAAAGTCATCTGTCTTACACATAAAGCTGCCCAATTTGCTTTAGGGTCTTTAAATTGTCTGGAATCCAGGGGTTCTTCTGGTACATTCTCATCATAACGGATCTTAAATTGATTAAATAATGCTTGATCATTTGGACCCATTCTAGCACTTAAGTCCCTCCAATAATTATTGCTGCTGTAGGGTATTTGTCTGAACAGCCAAGGATAAAATCTTCTATGCCATCCCAAATCTTGTTGATCAAATCCTTCTTACTGAGTGAAGGAATGTAGATATTAAAAAGCAAAATTTCCACCTGTTTATATAAAAGTAAGGTAGTCACAACCCATGGCTGAAAAGGTAGCAGTGATACACATTTAAATTGCAGGGCTGTATTAACTAGTGTCACAATACTCCTTTTAGCTCTCCCACCCACCTTACTTGGGGCAGGTGGGATAGTGTTGGTCCAATAACCATCTAACTGTATCTCTGCGGGGGTCCAGGTTTCCTGTAAGAAGGGGATGTCAAATTGTGATTATGTAGTCAAAAAAGAGTTGGTCTTTTGATGGGACCGTCCAGCCCACTATATTCCAGGTTATAATGGAGAGGGGATCATCTTTTGCCGCTCATCAGGAAATTTGATTTATACAAAGGGAAGTTGTAGGGTTGTTGCAATGGACTGAGGTGTCATCGCGCATGAAATTGGCTTTCTCTAAAAGGAGGAGAGACCCATCTGCATCCTGTGTAGACTCCTGAGAAAATTGTTCAGAATAAGGGGTTTTAGCACCAGCTAGCAGAGCTTGCCATTCCTGCGCTTCTTCTCTAAGTATAGGGCAAGGGGTTATTAGGTCATGCTTCATTCAACTTTGAGACGATGGTACTGTCGTGAGACCTCTCCCTATCTCTTGTTGTGGTGCTGAAGGTGTCATAGGATATTCACATAAGGATGATAGTACCTCCATCTCTACTGGAGCCTCTAGTGGTCCCTGTATATCTTGGCTTCTGTTTTCTGTCTCATATTTGTGCAGTCCCTTGCCCTCTGGGGGAGAAGAAAGAGGTTCAATTATTGGGGAGACCAGATCTATAGGTGGTTCAGCAGTGTCCATTGTGACCAACAAGGATTTCTTTAAATTTCCCAACTTGAATAATATGTTATCTTGTTCTTTTCTTGGGAGAGCTCCAAAAGTATTAATGAGGCCCATTTCTGTGCTGTTAAGTAGATCTTCACCGATCAAGGCTAGCTGACTCCCACTTTCTTTCTCTCTTTTTTCCAAGGTTGAGAATGCAGAAGACACAGCAGCCATGACAGCTCGCATGTTAATAATTAAAGGTTTAACCTTTACCTCACAGAAACCTCTGATGGGAAAAATTTGGAAGGAGGCTAAATGTGCCTTCATCTTAAACAGCATCAGTGGTATGGTGGGCGGCTTGAAAGACAGGAGTATCCACTTCCAATTTGGGACCTCGGGAAGCCACTCCACAGCACGAAGATCAATCTGCCCCCTATGGCAGTGAAGAAGCTGACTAGGGAATTTAGTATAGCACGCTTAGTAATCCAGCGTCCGTAATTAAATCTGTTCATATGGACTCTCAAAGCAATGCGTTGTGTTTGCAATGAGCGATGTGATTGTAGGGGAGATGCTTTCCTGGCTTCCAATGAAACTTCTCTATTGATACCTCCTCCTCTTGTTGCCTTGTCTGGAGAAGGGCTGTTTTTCTGAGAGGGCTGCCACTTAATAGATTTTTTAACTCTTTCCCTGGGTCTTTGCTCTTTTTCTTCTTCTATATCCTGCGTATGGGATTTATCCAGGTCTGCCGTAAGCACGTTGGTGGTGGGGTCTGTAGCCTGATGCTGTGCTTGCAGAAAGACAGCGATATCTTTTTTTTAAAGTGTCTCTACATCGTGTTGGATGGTTATTAATTGTTCAAATACTGAGACAACCGTTTGCGCTGTGAGAAGGCATTGTTTTGCCATAAATTCTGTTGTATTCTCCCAGGGTACACTTTGAATTAGATTATTGTTAATCTTTTTAGTCTTTATCACCATCTCCATATCAGCTGTAACTGACTTAGCTGTTTGTGAAAAAATCTGGCAGTCAATTTGCTCCTCCCCCACTAAATTGGGAAAGTCTAATATCTGCTGTTTTGTCAGATCTCTTTGCAGGTCCTGTTCTAATTTCTCTAGATTGTTGGAAATGGAGGGGGGAGATTAGTTTTACTTACAGATCTCTTGCCAGCAAAGTGCTCCTCCATTCTTGGTTGTTTTGCGGTCTTCACTGGTGGGAGAGATCCTGGGCTAGCACCATGGCACTTCTTTCTTTTCCCCATGCCTTGTTCGTTCTTAGCAAAACCAAAACTTTTGTCTGTGTTGTGGTCTACGCTGTTACCTTCTCCAGAAAATATTATTTAAATAAAAAGGAACCAGTGGGAGTACTAAAAATTGATGAAATAAAATAAAACCAAGAAAGCTGCTGCAGCATGCTCCGGCAGCCGGCTTTCCACGGCTCCTCCTGCACATTTTTTTCTTCTTCAAGTTAATGCATGTTCAAGACCTTTAACCATTCCTCACAGGTTTTTCTTCTATACCCCTTATGGTCTTGGTTGCTCTTCTGGACAGACTCCATCTGGCCAGTGCCTTTCTAAAATATGATGAAAAATTCTAGGTGTGATATGACCAATGCAGAACAAAGAGGATCAGATTTAAGTGAACTTCACCTCTGTTGACACAGCTTGGAATTGACCCCAAAACTTTCACATTGTGCTATACAACATGGTCTACCTCCACAGTACTTATGCCTTTATTATTTTTTTTCCTATTCAAACATAAAATTTGGTATTCATTTTAGTTCTAATTCAATGTTTTGCTTTCTACCCAGTGTTTCTGATTATCAAGATTCTCCTGAATCTTTGTTCTGTCCAGTCCCGTACTTCCATACCTGGTAATCTGATAATCGTGTTTTCATATACCTTAGGCATACATCTTTTAGTTGGCACAAAGCTTGTAGTAAACCTGCTCAGTGCAAAACCATTTGAATGCAGCTGTCAGATAGGATGTTTAAACATATGCCCTATTGGGAGCATGGAGTCAGTTCCATCTGGGAGAAGTCCTTGCTTGTCTTGGAAGACATGAAATATTGAGCTGTTCTTGATTAGGCAACTTCAAATCCTTCAGGAAAAGGAGCTGAACATTACCAAGTGACATGTTTGGTTAATTCAGGAAGATAGGCAGCAGGGTAGGTACTTCTATTAACCAAGAGTTCCTCCAATTCTCCCAATTACTCATCATATAAATGCTCATCAGTGCTTTCGAAACTGGCAAACTGCTGCACAGACTGCCTGGTCAGAGAGAAAGAATTTCTATCCAACTGTATTCTTTGCTTTCCATCTTCAAATCTGAGCTAGCTGGATCATCAAAAGAACCCTGATATCAGATTTTACATCTGATGAAGTGAGCTCATGCCCTTTAACAACATTTCTATTAGCCTGAAAAAATGCTATCAGATACTTTCTGACTCTCTGGCTGCCCTCCATCTACAATTTCTTCTGTGAGATAAATAGTCTCCTTGACACTTGCCACAGAATTAAATCCTGGACAGTATTTATTTTTTTAATAATAACTAGTCTAGCGGGGGGGGGAAAGCAGATTAGAAGACCAACATCTTGACTTCTTGGTTAGGCTACAAGCTAAAGAAAGAGCATTCTTTCTTTGAGTCCTTTCTTCCCAATCTGAGCTGGCTTACCATCTTAGCTATTCTTTGTAGCTATGCTTTACCTGTATTCCAGCTCCTTCAGGGACAGTTATTTTCCACACACAGTTGAGGCTGTTCAAGTAGGGCTCAGGGAATCCAGGGGACAAAATGGTGCCTTTTCGCTCTGTTAAGTTTCCACCACAAGGCACTGAAATAGACAAGAAAGTCTGTGTTATATCAACAGTCCTTGAGACTGAAATCATTCTACTCATCATGGCGGTTAGGTACCTATTTCTAATCTCCAGAATTATTATCCAATTATTCTCTCAAATGCCTAGCCTCCCAACCCAGCTTTTGATTTTTGCTACACAAATTGCCATGTATTCAAAAAAGCCAAAAGACAACCCGTTAATGCTCGTTAATCTCTGCATCTTGTGCACATACAAATAATCATTGTTCTTTGGACTAATTGCTTTGTGTCATGATCCCCCTTCTGCAGGTAACCCAGGTATCAAAACCTGCCTTTCCACTTTGCCTGGTGAAGAAGACAACCTTCCACATCAATACTGCTTTTGCTATAGTGACACTTCCTTGTTTGGAGATAAAAGTCTGGTAGCACCAGTTAAGACCAACAAAGATGCTTCCAGACTTTCAGATGTTTGGCTACTGTAGACTAACATGGCTCTCCTCCTATATCATTTGGAGATAACAGGGAAGGGGAGGTAGGGCATGTCATGGGTCTCATTGATTAGGGATGTACATCTAATGTGGCAAAAGAGCTTTCTTGGGGGGGGGGTTCTTTATTGAACATTATCTCCCCCAAGATATAGTTGCCCTCATCCTGTTGCTTTCTCGAAAACATGGTTTTGCCCATGGGCCTGGGTACTATGAATGGAGCCAATTAAGTGGCTGATTTGATTGTATTGTTGTTGCCATAGTGGTGTTTTTAATGGGTTTTTACTATGTGATGGATTTTTTAAAATATTGTAAGGCTAAGCCATCCAGAGTCACCTGTGTGTGGCTCGGGTAGCTATATTAATTTGTTTAATAAATAAATAACTTTAGGAAGGATTTGTATCCCAAGGAAAATCCTGCAGCAAAAACAGAGAATGTTCAGACTCTGAGATATGCACCAATTCGTCATGAATCCTTGCTGGATGACTTTGCATACAACATAAAAAAGGAGAACATGCTGAAAGAACATTCCCCACTCCTTTCCTGCAGCATCTACATATGATTTGCACCTGCTAGAGAGCCTCAGCCGTTTCCCGCAGCAACACCGGTCATGCCTTCTGTTTTCCCTGACACAAGTCTCTCTGGGAAGGAAGCCGTACCCAAGATAAAAGTTGCAAATTATCTGAAATGAAATGAGCTCTATCCCTGCGTAATTTATTTGGCAACATAATTTAGCAAAATGCATTTTAATTTCTGCTAGCTTTGAGGAGGGGGAGGAAAAGATGCAGGACCCTGAACTCACAAGAAATGTTTCTCCACCAATCCCAAGATTTCTAAGCTATCAGGAGGGTTCATCTAAATCCTTCCAAGGAAATCACCGAGGTTAGAATCTTGGTTTTTAATGTGCACATTTATGGTTAATATTGCCAGAAAAGTTAATTCTGCAAATACCAAATAACCTTGCATATACCCATATTAGAAGTTACACTGGAACTATTACAGCAATCATTTGAAGAACATATGTGATTATAATATATTTATGATGGATGCATTTCAAAAGGATTTCTACTGTTCCAAATGGAGTTGGGAAATCACAGATCGCTATACAAAGAACAGCCCAACCCTTCTTTGCTTTCATCTTAGCCATAAAGTAGCGTTTCCCAAATTTGACAATCTCGAGATGTATACACCTCAACTCCCAGAATTCTATAGCCATCCAGATCCAATCCTGCACAACTTTTTTCCAAGATCAGCCAAAGTTCTTTAGTTTCGACCATGGTTTGGGTCATAGCTCTTAAGCAATGTTTCTCACCTTGGCAACTTTAAGATGTGTGGACTTTAACTCCAAGAATTCTGGGATATATCCATACATATGCCCATATATCCTAAGACTGCTGAGGTTGAGAAACATATTCTAAAGTCTGTTATAAAAAAATATGAGCATGCCACAGAATGACTGGCTGTGAATGCCACTTAGTCCTGTCCTTGGCAGATACATACCAAGACAAGTAGGCACCGAAGAGTTCCACTGGGCAAGAGTTCCAGGCATTGTCAAGCATTCAATGCTGTGAGATCCCTTGAGAGCATAGCCAGCATTACACTCAAACTGGACCACAGCCCCCACCGAGAAGTCAATGCCAATCCGTCTCCCGTAACGGGGCTCTGGCACGGAGCTGCACTGGGTGGCACTGGTTCGTGGAACCGCTTCAAAAGACAGAGAAAGGAGAACATTATGGAACAGGATAGATGCTGAACCCAATGGAAAGCTTCTTCATTGAGCTTGGCTTTCAAGCTCTTAAAATAAACTTTGTGAAAGAGATCAAGGGTGAAACATATACTTTAAAAGTGTCCTTGTGTTATAGCTTGTATTTATCATTATTTCCTGGTGAGGTAATGAAATGACCTTTTCTTCATCTTCCAGGAAAGCTCCCAGAGGCAAAATGCAGGGAGCGTTATATGATAAATAGCAAGAGTTATTAGAAAAACTGGTATCAATATCCAAGAGATTAAGTCCTTATATCTCCCCTTTTTTTCTGATTTTTTTCAGGAGGATCAGACCATTCCAGAAGTAAATATCAGAACCTTCTGCAGCTGAAATTTAGTGCTGAATCCAGAGTCATCCAGAGTGACACTATGGAGGACATAAATGTAACAAAGGATCTTGTGTTTATTTATATTTTAAATTAAGAACATTATAGACTTGGTAAGCAGATCCTTTTATCAGGAGATAAAAGTTAGAAGTAGCTAGAACATCACCTACAATGCAAATAGTATCTGAAATAATTCCTTCCCAGAATCAGATTTTATTGAGTTCTTTCTTCGCCTATTTTATTTCCTGCCTGCTGTTCATCAATTTCACTGCTCATTTATGGCACAGAAACAGATGATAGTAGGTAATGATTGATTTTGCCATAAAAAAAAATTCATGAGGTGGATAAGGCATGGAGTGCTGAGGCTTGGGGCCATGGAAAAGATAGATGGACAAGAAATCTCTGGGCCACTTTAGGTAGTCATTTGTTTGTTCAGAGAAAATATATTCAAAATGAACATTTCAGTTGTTCTGACCTCAGAATGAAATTCCCACTTTGAAAGTTTACCCCAGGACAAAACAGCATTTTGTGCTGTTTTAAGTGATATTATTTGAACAGAAATTCACTAGTCAATAAGGTTGAAGAAACAGGTTTTAGTTTGATGCTGTTGCTGCAAAGAGAAGATGTGTGGGGATGTATGTGTGTGTGTGTGAGAGAGAGAGAGAGAGAGAGAGAGGGAGGGAGGGAGGGAGGGAGGGAGAGGGGGAGGAAGAGAGAACATTAGTCAAGCACATCTTTATTATTTGGACTAGTTCTTTGTGTAGAGAGACATGTTAGAAATCAGAGGTAGATTTGGAAACTAATATTCATTTGGAATCAACTACTGCTGGTCCAAGCAACTTCCCTCATATATAACCCTCCATAGTTAGTAAATTAGTTAATGATTTAATTAGTTAAATCACTAACTAAATTTAATTAGTTTAATTAATTAGTTAGGATTTTCTTGGCAAGTAAAACTATGCTACCTTCCCCCAGCTGGTTAGGGTGCATTTTTGATCTCTTGACAAGAAGAAGGCATTTCTCACACATTGTAGAATGTGAACAGCACCTAAAGGAGTGGTTGTAAGTCAAGGAGTATCTGTATCTCAAACCAAAGTGATACATTTCCTGTGCATTCTAAAGATTTGAAGACAAGTTGGATGAAATAGAGCAGGGATATCAAACTCGCACTGTCAGGCTGGCATCACGTGATGTATCACAACTTTTTCCCCCTTCGCTAAACCAGGTGTGGGCGTGGCCAGCATGTGATGCATCTGGCCTTTTGGCCATGAGTTTGACAGCCCTGAAATAGAGATTAATCTGATGTGAGCTTAAGAAAGTCAGGCATAGAAGTAGGAAATGCCTGCTTGCATTTCAATTTTTTATAGAGAGGCAATCAGCAAAAACTGTAGGGGTGGGGGCTTGCAATTATATTTAGGAGAGAAGAAGGAAACTTTCATTTGACTTCTTCAATGTCTCGTTAAATCATTAAAAATTGCTATCAAAATATGTCTCCCAAACAGGCTGAGTGATGACTGAATGGATCTCTGATTAGGCAGACAAAGCATCAAAAGGAATTCAAACGGAGTTTCTCTGTGGTGGCTCACATTTTGCCCTAAATCAAACTCCCCCACATTTCCAAGGGGAAACCCTGATGCTGAGGTCCTTCTGGAGAATAACTCTCAGAGGGTTTTTTTTTTTCTTATCCCCTCTGGAGAACATCACATATATCAGATGTGTTATTAATTAGGAGTTCTCTTATTGAGGCCTTTGAAAAACATCCCGGGGAACAAAAATCTATGAAAAAGTAAAGCTGGTTCAAAGAATCTAAAAGTAGCATTTCAAGAGAGGCTTTTGGTGAAGAACCAGCCAGGCACCGTACTCACAAAAGCAGCCTATTTAGGAGAGAAAGTGTGTATGTGTGGTGGTGGGGGGGCAGTCTCTGGATATTTTCCATGAAAAAAAAAAAAATTATCAGTGCCACTAGGGTGGCTGCTGACATTTGGAACTTGCCAAAGTGCTGACTTGTTTAGAGGTATACTGAACTAAGTATGGTTGTCTTTGCTTTGCTTTATTTGCCTAGATCTCACTGTCAGTTCCTGTGGGGCAACTGGGAGTCACAAAACCAGAGAACTGGAAGGAACATCTCAACTCATAGAGTTTACTTTCTTCTCAATGCTTGATCACTCTCAGGCTCAGCCAAGCATCCAGAGTTTTCAGTTCTGTATTTGCTTACATACAATAAACAGACTCTTGCCAGATTAAACCTATATGGATCTTCCCTGGGTGTGGCTATGCTTATGCTCTGAATCCTATCCATGAGGCCATGGTGCTGCATGTCTCCCCACATTCTGGAAATTCCAGTTTCTGGAATTTCCCTTCCTGGGAAATTGTCTCCTACTTCACTGTAGTCCATCATACCAGCAGCCTTTCCATTGGCACCATCTCTCACGATCAGCTTCAACATCTTTGATGTATGACCATTCAGTCCGTGTTGTGTTGTGAAGATATATAAACAAGTGATATGCAATGGATAGCTCATACAGCAGAAGAAAGGCACTACATTGTTCTTCTAATTTGGCTCATATTTCATTTGATGCTAGAATGTTTTCTTTAAGAATTCTCCTAGCTCCGGAGTATGTAATCTTTTTCCCATTTAAAATGTTGACCATGTGCTCTTACCACATGGCTGTCAGGAGATGATTCTGGCTCACTCACAAAATGGCTTCAGTGGATGACATAAACATGTCTCGACATCTACTGACCTCAACAGTACTTGCTAATCCTTCTAGCCCTTACAGGACACTCCCTTCATCCCTGCATATGATTTGGTGGCTATCAATGTCTTTGAAAGTAAAAATGATAATGGAAGTTGGTTTGCTCCCATTCTAAGAATTGTCATTATTGTTATTATCTGATCAAAATGTAGACATCAAGAAGTTGGTGTGTGCTAAGGGAGGTGGTCACTGTCAACTCTGAGTCTCAAGAGAGATTGTGAGGATGGAACAATTTCAACACAGACCTAGCTCTGTACCCACAATTCTTTTTGAGACAGTTGATTGCTGGAAAGAAGATTCCCTTGGTGTGATGGATAACTACTAAAATAGTTTTCATTTGTTTTGAGGACTTGTAATTTCTTATTTATAATACAAGGGGCTATATTTTTATAAATGAGTAGTATAGATGGATCCTTACAGCATTTTTTTAAGAATAGCAAACTAAATCAGTGGAACTCCTGCTGAGTTCTCATCATTTTACCTAGTAAACTGGCCAAGTTGATTTTTGGAATTTTTGATTCCATTCCTCTACTATTGAATTTCCATTCCAATTCTACCAGACATTGCCTAAATTCTGATTATACACTAAGACACGAACTCTGACAAGCAAAATTCAAGTGTTTTCTTCACATAACATGCCTTGTGTAAACAAGCAAATGTCAGGTGAAGGTGAGGAACAAAGGAAAAAACTGATGCAATAAGATTTTATGTCTGAGCCCAGAGGAGTTCTGAGTTTACATTTAAATTCACCATAAATTGCAGCATGGCATATTCTCCATTCAGAAAACTTCAGGCCACAATCTTTCCTATTATTTCTGGAGTGCTTATGCTCTGTTTTTATTTGACTGTCACAGTCAGCAGAGTTATTTCCAGACTCCTCACCTACCTTGATAGACAAAATGGAAACCTTTGGCTGTGGCCTGCCCTTTAGCACTGAATTTGATCAGTATTTGGTTTGTGGTAGCCAGAGGCAATGATTCACCTAGGAAGGGAGGGAAAAAACAATCTTCAGCAAAATGCAATAAAATAAGAAACACCTTTACTAGGTTCTGGCAGCAGATTATCACCTACATTTTATGAACAGCACACCTGCAAATTAGGTAAATCAAGTTCCAGTAAAGTAAAAATGTTGATTTGTGAAAAAAATATATATAGCACATTTAAAAACAAAAACAAAGGAAAGCAAACAACAAGTTTAAAAGCAATACATAAACTTGAAGTGAAAGTAGGAAATAGATCAAAATGAAAGCAAATGACCTCAACTCACTAAAAGGTTTTGGACAACACCTGGGAGAATCAAAACTTCTACTCCTGTAGCCAAAAAGGCCATAAAAAGTGGGTACTTGGTGAGAAGGCATTAGGGGAAGGCATTGCATTAGAAGGAATATCTTTTCCCGTCATTGCCTGTTTCATTGCCTCTGATGAAATTATTGTTAGAATCATATAGACATTATCACATTGGTCCTTCCCTATCATACATCAAAAACATTTCAGAAACAGTAGAACACAACTTCTGAGATCTGAAAATGGGCATTACACACCATCCAGAGGCTACCATACTAGGACAAATGTATTGCAAAGATGGCTTGAAGGTGGGAGATGCTTCTAATGTAATCTACCAGATCTTCTGCATAGATTGCCTCTGTGACTATGTAGGACAGATGGAGAGAAAAGTAACAACCAGATTGCAGGAACACAAGTGAGTGGTCAGACAAGAAGACTGAAACTTATTGGTAGTCATACATTGCAATGAACAAGGACATTCAATTTTGCAGCTATTAAGTTTGTGGGCCGAGCAGGTACAAAAATAGCCAGGGAAATGATTGAAGCCTGGGAAATGGTCTCCTTATCAGTCAACAGGAGTGCTGATTGACTACCAGCTTGTCAGGTACTCAGGAGCCAAGGACTTGGCAGCAGAAGGAAACAACAGACAATGATTTAATAGCTGGCCATCAGCACCCCAATCAACAATTAAAAAGCCTCACACAACCAGGCACCACATAAATTCTATGCATAGAATAGGCTATTCTGGTAGAGAGGAATTCCTCAAGGATGGGCTCTAGCACAAGTCCAAAACCTCAGAAGACTAAACCTCTGGTCTTGGTGATCAGCCCAGATTGAATCCTGCCATATTAGCCTGGGACAAATATATTTGCCTTCTGCCCAGAGAACTTTGAATGTTTACCTAAATAAAACCAAGATCAGTCTGGGATGTCTATCAGCTACAGTTTATTGTTTAGTTATTATTAATTAAGAACATTTATACAACCTATTGACTTCTGAGCAATCTCCCTGCTGCATTCAGGATCAGCTACAGCTAACAGAACGTATCCATTGAAAGTTCTTTGTACAACATTTTACAGTGGCTCTACAAATTGGTGGGCAAGATATTACTTATAGTTGTCAAAGTGCAAATTAGATCTGTTTGTACTCAGTTTCATTTCTCTATAAATAACACCTCCCCTGAAAATTGTGTGAACAATGGTGAAATAACTTTCCTTTTCCCTATGGCTAAAATGTTTTAGGCAACCACAAAGAATACACTCAAATAGCCACCATAGAACTGATATCAAAGCAGGAATGGAATGCATAGACTGAAGATAGCATGACCCTTTAACAATTCCACAATCAAGGCATGCCTACAGTTTTTGATGGACATCTCTCAAAAAGCTTTTTTATCCACAGGAGGAAAGACAGAGGCAGAACCTCTCCTTACCCGTATGAGAACCAGAGAGAGAGCTCAGGAGGCGAGAATGTTGGTTTGGACCATCATGTACTTCAATGATGTCATGGAGAGCTGTCTGGAAGAAGGCAAACTGGCCAAATACCACTATCAAAGGAAGAAAGGTGGGGCATTTAAATATAGGACAAGGTGCACACATTGACCATCACTCAGTATAAAACAAAATGGGTGCCCTTATGTTGGCAAAACTGAAGCTAAAATGGAGCTGAGAGACTTGTAAAGATGTTGGAGACCCAGGTTTTTATAGAAGAGGCTATTACTGCACCAAATCCAATTCTCTGTCCAGTTCTGGAATCCCATTTAAAACATCCCTGTCATTTATTTGTTTTATTTATTAAATGTATATGCCACACATCCTGCTGTTCAGCATCCCTGCTTTTTATAAGCCTTTAAGATATGTGGACTTAAACTCCTAGAATTCCAAAGGATATTGAAAGGTGATCTGCCAGCTGTCTAGATTGCTGGTTCAGCTGTCAAATTGCTCTTACAGTTCCGAACTTTTTCCTAAGATTCAATCAATATTTATCTTCCATGAATTAAAATGATTATTATAAACCTCCATTTAGTGGACAAAACATGTCTTGGCCTTCTTCTGTGTGATGGACTTTTATTCTGTGTGATACCTCCTTTTCTTTATGTATTTGACCAAATGCTGAAGTTAGCGGATATATATGAATCTTCCAAATGCCATTTCAACATGGACATGCTTAGCAACATTTGATCCTCACAGAACTTGACCACTGGCTTAAATTGGGTGGACTCTTTTACAAGAGTTTTGCAGAATCTTTGAACACTTGCAACTAGATATGGGCCACATACACTGAAACAAGTAGGATTATGAAAGACTCTCTTAGAGTTAGACATTCTATTTGAGCAGCAGTTTGAAGCCCTGGAGGTTTCATCCTTTTAACCAAGAAGAGCCATTTGAAACATTGACAACTTCAATGTGTTGTTGCCAATAGACCAATTTAGGATATTATCTGTTGTTCTATTTCTGAAGCTCTACCTTTGCCTGCCCTGTTGGTATCTTCAACAATTCAAGGAGGGAAAGGATGAATTCAGGAAGTATTAGAAATATACAGATATGAAAGTCAACTTTGACTTGGATCCAACCTCATCCCACTTTGGATTGGTTTGGCTACAGCAGTACTAGCTTATTTATCCATTCTGTTGGTTTATAGGTTTAATAGGTATTGCTGCATTTTCTGGGTCTGGCTTTATTTGATTCTGAATCAAAGCATCTTTGACCTTGAGTCATAGGAATGTATAGTTCCAACCAATGAGAAGTGGCAGGACATACATTTGAAACTGAATTATTTATGTTTAATTGCAATTCTTTTTAAAATGGGTTATATTCCTGCTTTGGGATTTTCCTACAAGTAACAAGCAAGACATAAATAATATGGAAATAATAATATATTTTTTTTAAATGCACTGATTGCTCATTACTAAGAATGGCCAAATGGTAATCAGTGAGCCAAGGTTGGCATTGACAGATTTTTTTTCTGCTCTGTGATAGCCCTGCCAGATTTTAATTGCAACATTGTAATAAATTTCATACTTGGGAATAGGAGGAAAAAATTTGCAAGCTGTGAAAGATTGAGCCTATGATCCTTTTGCAGGTTTTAAAAATACTGCATATTTCATCTCTTAATCTTTAAAACTTAGATTTCACTTTAGCTCAATAAAAAGAGACTCAAGGACACTCAAACGCTAATAGTTTTTAAAAATAAAACAGACATCAAATTTATCATATCTAGGATCATTCTTGCTGAATGCTAGGGGAAAAATTCTTAACAGTAAGAGAAATGTGTCAATGGGAGCAATGATCTAGGGAGTGGTGGGCTCTACTTCACTTAGATGTATCCATATGTATTCAAAAATGGACTGTCATCTTGGGTTATGTGTGTTAATTTGGATTTCTCCATTGACCAGGACATTTCAATGACCCTTGCCAGCTCCAAGATTCTATTTTTCCACTGTTACTGAAACTAATGGACCTTTAGCTAGTAACATATTGAACAGCCATAACAAGGTCAAGGCATAGGAGAGGAAACATATAACCATGTATCAAAAACATTTGTGGTACTGATTTCTATGCAGTTTTATTCCAAAGCACTAAAGCTCCTTGAAACTGTAAAATTCTTTAATGGCATATACATAATTCATAGTCTATAGGGAAAAAACACCTCTTATTTAGTCATTCAGTGGAACATCTGGCAAGAAAATCAAGAAAGATATAAGGAAGGATGTAATTCTAAGCAAATTGTTAATCTAAAACAGGGTTCACAATCAAGTATTCTCTAGATATATGATGGGGCATGTCTCCATATATAAAAAGCATAAAGATGGGAAGAAGGGATGTTCCAATGATTTTTTCCCAACAAGACATAAGGATGATGACCAGTCTGTGCAGCTTCAAGAAGGCTGTAGGCAAATGCACGCACAAATGCATTTGTGTCAATTAAAGTCTTTGGAATTTCAGATATTGGTTCAGAATTAGCCTAACACCTAATGCAAGTTTCTAGGATGAACAGAAATGAAAGAAATTATTTTCTGAATGTCTGCAACTTGTTTTACCAAGCCAACTAAAAAAGTAGCAGCTGTATTCACCTGATTTGCTAGCTTTATAATCTTGTAAGAATTTTTTTTTTTTTGGGGGGGGGGAGGCTGCATAAATGTAGCCCATTTGGTTAGTTTTTTGATACACCTGAGTGAATTCAAACAGTTGGGCTAGATCCTTAGGAGAGGTGAACTTAGCTAGGTTGTCTCCCACTGTGATCTTCTTGGTGGAATCTGAGGGCTATTGCATGAAACAGAGTGCAAGCTGTACATTTTTCGTATTAAACCTAGAAATATAAAATAGGTAGAGTATCGTACAAAAATACTGTCAAGAATTGAGACACCAACTACTGCTTAAAAAAACAAGGATAAAAAAAAAATCTTCAAAACCTGAGATCATATGCTCCACAGAGAATGGAGACTAAGTAGAAACAACAATTTGGACTGTGCCTAGAAGAAAAAGACCATATTTCTCATCCCTCCCAAAATATTATTTCCAATTTAAATTTACTTGGGTGACAGAATTTTTCCTGTAAAAATGAAGGAGAAATGGAATGCCACACAGATTTTATTTTTGAAAAGGGCTGTCTTCAAAAACTTTGTCTGTGCGTGAATTTCAAAATACAGCTAATGCTCCTTTCTGCCTTGAAACTCCGAGGTTGAGATTCTTACGGTTGTCATTTCTTTTCACTGACCTGATGCTTTTGTGATCTACAGCTTGTAAATATCCATTTAAGGAGTGACAAGCACCTTTTCTTTTGGCAACATTAGCAAATGTTGCCAAACCACTGCTATGCTGGAACACAGACTTACAACCATTCAACTAATGGCCATTCAAAGTTAAAAAAATCACTTATAAAAAAGTGATTTATAACCACAAGCACTTATGACCATCACAGAATTCCCACAATCATGTGATCAAAATTTGAGCCCTTGTATTTACAACAGTTGCAGCGTCCTATGTTCATGTAATTGCCAGCTTTTGAAAACAAAGTCAATTGGGCAAGCTGGATTCCCTTAATGGCTGTATGATTCACTTAACAACTGTAATGGAAATCAGTATTGACTCCAGGTGTTTTGCAGAAGTATTTTGCCAGAGTAAGTAGCCCAGGATTACCAAGCTGGCTTTGTGCCTAAGGTGGAACTAGAAGCCATGATCTCCTAGTTTCTAATGCAGCACCATCACAACCACACCAAACTGGCTCTTATTGCCTTCAAGTCGACCTTGACTCCTGGGGATCACCTGAACAAATGCCTGCCATTTTCTAGCCATGATTTCAGAACCATGATTTATTTCTTCCCAGGGCTGAGAGAAAGTGATGGGCCCAAAGTCACCCACCTGGTTTCATGATTACAGCAAGACTATAACTAATGGCCTCCCATTTTCAAGCCTGATGGCTTAACCACTATCCTAAACTGGTTCTACAGAATACACCTACCCTTGAGAAATTATTTTAGAATTTTTCCATCTGCAGGATCAATTGAGAGAAGTCATCCACATAATTTTTCGACTGACAAATTTGATGGAGAAACTCGAAAGGCCCTGTACTCTCAGCTACAATTTCCACCATTAGGAATTCCTGACTCATATTACCTCTGCTCACCTCTTTGTATCAACACTACAACCAGAAAAGGATCAGAAGGCATGAACAATAGGGATATACCATAATCTTTGGGCACAACGATGAAATACAGGCACACTTGTCCACTGGTGTAGTTCTGAGGATAATTGGGTGATAGGACGACACCATCTGATCCTGTGTACTGACCTCCACACGGTGCTAAAACATGGAAAAAGGAATAATAAAGTTAGTTTCTGATGATTGCGTCCTTTTTCTTCCCTAGATTGCTGGCCCAGAATACTCTGTTAATTCAATGGGCAATAAGCAGAAGGCATGCTGCAGAATGCATCTTAAGCAGAACCTGTGCCTGATACATTTTTTATAACTTATCCTGCATTATACATTGGGAGCAATAAAACCCTAACGAATGATTGTTCAACAGAATTTGATTTAAATTGGTGGAGAATTTGAAGAAATCCCCTAGATAATGTGTGTGTGTGTGTGTTTGTGTGTGTGTATGTGTGTGTATGTATGTATGTATATATGGTATTCAGCTTTGTTCGGGTATTTTCCCACATCATTATAGTTGTGCTTTTAAGTTGTAGCAACGTCTGGTGGACTGTCAATTATCTGGAAGCCTGCACTCTCAAACAAAAAAAATCTCCACACTACAAGCCAGGCAAACACCTGGGCACAAACAGACTCCCCCTGATACATCCAGCTCAAAGACACCCCAACCAGGCAACCATTTATTAGCTTCCTAATAAATGATAGCCATCCGTTTACTCGGAGCCAAGCTGCATTACAAGCCTCCAACACAGGAAACACAATGTTGCCAGCCAATCAAGAAAAAAAAAGTCACAAAACAGACAGAAGATATTAGAAACACCAATCAAGCAGAACACAGCAAACTTCAAGACCAACAAACACAGACCAAGACTCCCAACCAATCAGGATGAAGAAAAAACCATTCTGGCACAGCGTAGGCTAGCACCAAATTTAAAATAGAAACGGCTGTGAAAGTCTGACTCACAGACGAACACTATACAGAAGCCTGATGATGGCAGATGAGATTCTGCCGAAACGTTGCTACAACTTTAAAAGTACAACTATAATGATGTGGAAAAATACCTGAACAAAACTGAATACCATACATATACATATATATATATATATATATAACAAATTCATTTGTAAGTTCAGTTCTCCTCTATCATTTGTAAGTATTTCTACCAGAAGAAGAGTGATGCTGTACTTGAATCCAGAAGACCTTCAACTTACCTGTACACATGGGCCTTGGCTTATTCCACACAGGTTTCCCATCTCCTTCCATGACACATGTCACAGTGGACACCCCTTCAATCACATAACCACTGTCACAGTAGTATGTGATTGTGGAGCCCAGTTTCAGCTCACTTCCAGCTCGAGTTCCATTTTTAATCAGACCTGGATCAAAACAGGATTCTCTGGGGTTTTCTGGAAAAAACAAAATCTGAACATCAATTTTCTGATACTTCTAGCCTTGTTTTTTTAGGCTAAGCTTAATTCCATTAGAATTTTGTGGAACAAGAAATGCTTCACTATCTGGAAAAGCCACATGTGACCATTTTTGATTACAGTAGGTATATACAGGAACAAAGTCAAGGATATGTTAAAGAACCTGGAGAACACTGGTACAAAATTATATATGTATTATTTTATCGTTTTTGAATTAGTGACATAAAAACAGCAGAAAAAGAACATGCCAAGCTTGTACAAAGTACAGACAGTATCAAAGAGAAAGAAACAAGCAAAGTGCATTTTTTAAAAATAAAATATAATGAAGAAAAAAGTATATCAATTAACAGTAAAAATGTGGTAGAGTGAAGTCTGGATTCCCAAAAGGGAGGGGTTGCCTCCCAGAGGACAAAGAGGAAGTAGAACTTGGAAAGTTCAGCAGGAAGAGGTTAAGATGGTTTCTCCCTAATAGTTCACAGAATATATCTATAGTTATACACATAGTTGCTTTATTCTGACAAGATTCTGCCGATAGGTAAAGAACAATAAACTAAAATAATTTCATATGTCATTCTTGCTTCTTTGGCCTGACAAAATAGTTACAATTCTAGAGAAGTTCCAAAGGTGCTCTTTAAAAGGCAAGTCTTTTAATAAGCCTAGTTTCTAAGGAAGTCCAGTTGCCCTTTGAAAAGCATCTTTCGGACAACTATGATCTGGATTATTGAAAATCTCCATGGACAATTCTACAGGTAACTAATGCAATTATTATTCAAATGCGTACAGCTATCTAATACACTGATATAACTATTATTTTAACCTATTGTATTTTGTATTAACAAGGCCCATATTTTATATTTGTCCATACAAAATCTGCATCTACAGGCAGTTTGTTCATAAGTGACAAGTGCAATCAAGTCCTCAATCCATTGAGTAAAATGCGCCATACATTTTTTTTTCTAAAGGTGCAATATCAATCTTTAAGTTGTAGAAAGGGCACAGGGAGAATCCATTTACAACCCATTTACATTGTCTGATTGTCAATTCCAAGTACTAGCTCAAAAGATTGTTTTTGTTAATCATGATAATTACAAAATTCTTCATCGATGGCCGAACAACCATTTCTAGGTTGTTCATTCAGGAACAAATGGGTGAAATTCCCCAATGCCAATATTGTAAAGGTAGATTTACAGCCCTTGAGATCAGTCTCTGCAACCTGAAATGTAGCAGAGCAAATTGTTGAATTCAGGATTAGTGGAATATCTTCTTATTGATTCTAGACTTGGCCTGCTCAGAGGCCAATTACTGTCTGCCTGTCACAAGAATGGATGTTGCAAATCTCTTTGTTTCAGCTCAGAGGAAAACAGAGGTTCTAGTCTTAAGCCATGTCTAGCCAAGGAAAGACCTCATGGGTCTAATAATCAAGAAATGTCATATTATTTCCCTGTTGAAATGTAGGATCCTACATTTCTGTTTTTTTGCGTCTCTGTCTGAAAAACATGCCTGAAAGCCTGAAGAAACTCAGGCCCAGATCATTGCTTATGTTTGCTGGAGATCTAGGACTCAAGACAGGTTCAAGCAGGGCACTCTGTACGGGTGTGTGTGTGTGTGTGTGTCAAAAAAGGCAAACTGGTCATGTGATTGATGATTCATCCTCTTTTAATGAGCATCACAATATACATTTTTAAATTTTATTATTGTCTTTATAAATGAATTTATAAATTAAAAATAATTACTTTATTTATTTATATTAAAAACATGGTGTGATCAAAGTCACACCAACAATATTTCAGCAACTTTTGCAATGCTTGCAGGGTGGAAGAGAGGGTAAGATGTGAATCACACAACTTGAAGCAGCCATCTTTGACTGTTCTGTCTTTCCTCTTTCAGAAACCCCCAGGATTCAATTCCAAGAAATATTGGGGAATGCCATATGGTAAAAAATGATCCATTGTTTAAAGAGAAGATGACAGCCCAAACTCCAATTATAAGTTTTGTTAAGGAGCCCTCCTTATGAAAAACAAACAGGAAACAAACTGCTTTTCTAAAAAGGCCAATTACTATCTACACTGACTTTAATTATAATGAGGCTAATGTAAAATTATACTCAGGATGGAGATAATTCCAAACAATGCTATAACTGTTGGAAAAGAAAGAGTAGGATCTGACAAACAGAAATCAAGAAGAATAGGGTATTAAGGAGATCTGGTTTGAGCTTCTTTGGCGACAGACCAAAATCTGTGACCATGCACAGTTTTGATCTGTGCTCGCTGCTGGAGTGCCCTGAGCCGGCTGGTTTCAGGGCTAAGCCACCCCATAGAGGTGGTGAAGAGGGGGGAGACTGCCAGCAGAGTCGAGGAGAGCCGTATCTCTCCTCCCCAGCTGGCCATTACTCCCTTTCCCGAAGGTGGTTGCAGCAGTGGTCAGAAATTACCTCAAAGAAGAACTCGACCGGAAAAGAATGTGCAGGAGGAAGATAAGAAGAGAAAGTTTTGGCTGACCAGGTCGAACTGGAAAAGCAACAATATAAGGTACCCTGGAATTTGAATTATAAAGAACAACATTGTTTCCAAAGAAGACTTTGAAGCAGCGAATGAGAGAGGGAAGGGAAAGGATTTGGTTTTTTTTCTCTTTTCTTCCCTATATTGACAAGTAAGAGATTTAAGCAAGAAACCAGCAAAAATCCATTTCAACATTAACAGGTATTTAAAATGAAAATAAAATGTCAAAGGGATAATAAAGATTTCTGGATTCTCAAAAACTTTTAAAAGAAGGAAAAAAACAAAAGGGTGGGATCTAGAAAAAGGGAGGAAACCACCTGGAAGTGAAAGGAATTAACAGTGAAACTTTAACAAGATTCCTAAAAGATACATTTTAACTGAAACTTTGTAACAAGATAAGAGAACCCCAGGAAGAGAAAGTGGAAAAAAGAAGGAAAAAGAAATGGCTTTGGATTATTTGGATTACTTGGTGATTTTTGGATGTTTGGCTATTGGATCTAAAGGACTAAAATCAATCGGGTGGTTGTTTAAAAGTTTTTAAAATGGTATCACTCTTGGAAGAATTGAGAATGGAACTTAAAAAACAGAAAGAAGATGCACAAGAGGGAAGAAGTTCTTTTGGCTTCGTATTTCAATTTTTAGTAATGGAGATCCTGAACTATGAGAAACAACAAGAAATGCCTGTAGAACAAGAAGGGCAGGACCAAGAAGAAGCCATTTTCAATGACAAAGTATTTCTATGTGGGGAAAAGAAAGGGAAGTGGGGGAAAGAGAGTGAAAAATTGAAGATCTGAAAAAATCCCCAAAAAGAATAGTTTGAAAGGTAATTATAACATTAGGAAGAAACAGAAGAGAGGATTACAGAAGAGAGAATCAGAATTAGAGAAAGAGTCAAAAAGGGAAGGAAGAAGAAGAGGGAGAAGAGGGAAAGGAAAAGAAATTATAAAGGACAGAATTAAGACATAGAGAAACAGGGAAAATGTACAAGACACAGAGATAATGGGTGAAAATGTAATTGAAAGAGGGATTCTGCAAGGGTACATAAGATAGTATATTAGAAATAGAAATGAACTTTGAAAATATGAAACAAGTGTGATTAAAATGATAGATAAAATACTCATTGTAATGTAATGTAATGTTTAATACATAAATGAAATAAAGAGAATGAAAGAATGAAATTAGGAATGTTATAAATGTGTTATAAAAATTTAAGTGAAGAGGAATATGAAAGAAACATGAAAAAATTATGGAAATATTATAAGTGTTCCTAGAAGTATGATATCCTATTGAAAAGGAATGTTAAAGATGTCAAAGATTATAACTAACATTAATGATAGAGCTGAATTGGAATAGAATAAGTATTTTATTCATTATTGTTATATATATTTTTTCTCTTTAAGAACTTAGTGCGTATTTTAAGAATGTACCAAGCAGAATTCGACTGGAAGTTATGTGTTATATTGAATGTTATAATTGTAAAGGCATAAATTGAAGTTTAAATAAGAGTTGAATGGATAAAAATTAAAAGATACAAAGGTGTCATACTCCAGTTAGTAACTACAGGGGGAAAATTTGTTTAATGAGAAAAGAAAATATGAAATTGAAACAGGACAGACAAAAGTATAAATATGATGACTAGAAAGGTATTGAAACTTAGAAAAAGATATATGTAATTGAATTTAGAAAGGAATGAGATAATTAAAAGTAAGATTGAGAAAACTAAGGGAAGGGAAAATTATTGAGAAAATGTTAAAATAGTAATAAGATATGGAATAGAACACAAAGATGAATATGAAATTGAATTTGTGTCTGTATGGAGAAGTGATAACCCGGGACCATACTAGTCTCAAAAAAAGAAATTTTACTTGTATTATGTTTTGTGAAAACCCAAATAAAAAAATATATATATATATATATATAAAAGAATAATGTATTAGGAGACAGAACCCAGTTTGGGCTAACCCTTCATCACAGCTTTGATCAGAAAAAAAACATCTACTGTGTCCAATTTAGATGTGGAAGAAGCAGAAAGCATTTTTCTTTCAAGAGCTATTTATAGATACAGACAACAAATTATGCATTACAGTGGAGAAAGAACAGCTTTCAATTCCAGTGTTAATGGTGGGTTCTGAAGTTCTGACTCCATAGCCATAGAGCAGATCAGAAATGAGTAGAATTGATACACTGCACTGCAGCTTTATGAAAGTTACCTTGCAAAATGCAAGAATTGCAAGAGCTGATGGAGAGCTCAATTCCTGCCCCAAATTAATCAAGAAGATGCTGATTGTAATAGAATTTGTATATATAAAAAATCAATCCCTTAAGCATTTCTCTGACTGAGCAAAAGTCCCTTTCCAGAGTGAATCTCTTAACTTGATGAGCAACACAGCCAAGATAATTGAAAGGTGATTACAGACAGTTCTGTTGCCAAGGAAAGGGCCTTTTTTAACTCAACAAGGTTTATTTCTAAGCAGAGGAGCA